TCGTAATCTTATACTATTGTCTGTATTTTTCTTTGTAGGACGATTGCCACATCTGACATGCAATGACTGTTTTGGGTATAAGAATAGCTAACATTTCCACAACCCTGTGAGGTAGGTGTTAAATTAACACCCTTTTACACAGGAGGAGACGGTCGCAGAAGTAATGCTTGTACAAAATATAAATATGGGAAAGGAGACTCCAAAGGCCCATTCACCTACTGCCACCATGATCTTGAGCAAGTCATCAAACCCCTTTGGAGGCTTATTTGTCTCATTTTAAACTGGGGATCTTTCACTGGACAATACTGAATACAGATCACTGGTCACAAAGATGAAAACCACCCACTCCACAGGGGTTATATGGAAATTTCTGTATCTTCTTAATTTTGCTGTGAACCTAAAACTGCTCCATCCCAAAGAATTGTAAAATTCACTTCCTGCCATCAGGAAGTTCCAATAGTAACTCCACCACAGTAGTGACAATCTGCCACTCCCCCTGACCAGGCTGACAATAGTGATGTTTAAAAAGACTGTGGAGACATGTATTGTGTAATCCCTTTATAGGTCATGGCCAGAAAAGACAAATCTTTAGAGATGGATAATACATTAATGGTTGCTTACAACTAAGGGTGGGGAGAATGGGGAATTAGGAGGTGATAGCTAATGGGTACAGGATTGCTTTCTGAGGGGATACAAATATTCTAAAATTGTGATGATGGTTGCACAACAAATTTGTGAATATTGGAAAAATCATTGACTTGTGTGCTTTAAATGGGTGAATTTAAGGCTCTCTTCCCTTAAGAAAGCCTTAAGGGGAACAGCATCCTCAAGGAAGGGCTAAGATAAAGTTTTTAAAAGGGACTACTTCATTAAAAAAATGAGGATGTAGAGGAGTTTAAGCATGGGACTTCAGTTGATCCAGAACACACAGGGAAGAGGCGTGGGAGGATTAGTGGCAGTGGGAAGGCGGTTTAGGGAAAAGGAAGCAGGAAAGGAATGCGAGCATGAAAAGATGATCTGAGGGGCATATGTCCTGGGATGTGGCCCAGAATAACAGGGATACGAAGCATGGAGACTGAAGTGGTCCCAATGCCAAAGAGACAGACCTGGTAAATATCAGGAAGGTTAAATGTATAGCAAGTACACTTGGGCTTTTTCAAGGGCCAGGACAGATCACACTTCCATGGGAGTTCTAGCCCTCTCTAGACGAGGAGACTGGTCTCTCAGGAAGGACTACATGAAGCTTGAATGATTTGCTTGGACTTAGGGAGAAGCTCTGAGTTTAATGCAGCTTTTCTGAAGCTCCTAGGGAGTGGTTTGGATGGAAAGCATGAACCCAGAAGGCACAGGCCTGGTCCCTAGAAGTGTGGATAACACACACCAGCTCTGCTCTTCAAAATCCTCATTATTACCAACCGGTTCTGCAACCAAGACCATAGGTGTTGACAGTTGCAACATATAGCTTTAACCATAGCTGATAATATTCTTAGAATAAATTACCAGATGTATTAATTACTGAGCCAAAGATTATGAATTTCATTGTTACTGATCCATATTACCAAGTTCATTTATGCAAGATTGATACTGACTTATATTCTCACTTAATTGGTAGTAACCATCTTTCTCCATCCTTGACAATTTTGGGTAATAGTTTTTTTTTTAAATTTTGTATGTCATGGAATTATATGATTGTTCTGAGACAACTCTCTATGGGTCTCTTGCATTTTGCATTCCATTCTGTCTTGTAATTGTCTTGTTCCAGCTATTGTTACAAGGATATTTGTAAACAAATAGCCTTAGAAGATAGTGTCTCTCTCTGGGGCAGGGGACACATTTATTTGCTACCCAGAGAGTAAAGATAATGTATTTCTCTAGGGGAAAATGTCAGGTGGGTTTGTTAGTGGCCCTTTAAGACTGGGGATCCCGCCCTGGCCAGTTTGTCTCAGCAGTTGGAGCTTCGGCCTGCGGTCCGGAGAGACCCGGGTTCGGTTCCCGCTAAGGGCACGTACTTTGGTTGCAGTTTGTCCCCGGCCCTGGTTGGTCGTGCGGGTGGCAGCCACTCGATGTGTCCCTTTCACGTCGATGTTTCTCTCTCTCTCTCTCTCCCTCCCACTCTATCTATACAAAAAATGGAAAAATGTCCTCGGGTGAGGATAAAAAAAAAAAAGACTGGGGATCCCTAAATTCAGGATTCATCAGCTGTGAAACAAACCTCCTGTGTGTGTACTATGCACCTGGGCTGCTCTGAATGCCCCCTGCCCCATCCCATGGGCCTAGGGGATCAAGGAGAACCAACACAAATGTGAAACTCATGCTCCCTGCTGTGCTAGGAGTAATAATGCCCTTTATCTCTGACCTAGGAGTCTCATGTCTTCTGCCAGCATCCATGACAATGAGGCAGGCTAACCTGTTAGCTTGCAAGCTGAGTACAATCCCAGACCCTGCACAGTTCTTGACAGTAATTTTTGAACTGAGTGTTGAGGACCACGCAGGTTTTCTCCTGGATGGTAGTGGTAAGGGCCATGCAGGCAAAGGGAACATTTCCATAAAGGCAGAGAGATTTGGGAGGGCTTTGTAGAGAATTTGTCTCTGCTTGTGTTTGAATGTTTTGCTAGCTAAGATTAGGAAGGCGGAGATGAGCAAGTCAGGAAGTAGGAAAGCCGTGGCAAGACAACCAGCTAGAAAGCTGTGGTCATTGGCCAAGAAAGGAAGTACACATGAGAGGAGGAGCTTCAGAGGACGAAAGGAATACTTGGCTCGGGAAAATGACAACTCGGGAGGAGATGTCCTATAGGAAAAATTATTTTCATGCAGGAGGGAAATCTAAGCTAAAGATGGTGTTTTAGGAAATAGAGTATACATGTTAGTTTGAGCCTTGGGTGAGTTCATATTAGGGAATGGAGCAGAGAACATTCAATCTCACAAACCTAAGGCTTTTAGAGGCCAGGCAGATGATATAAACTAGTGAAGTGGACCACGTGTAAAATTTTCCCCCAAGAAGCAGTAACTCTGCAGACTCTATGACATATGTTTATTTTATGTTAACAGGAGAGCCTTTACTTGCTATCTACAATATTTCCATTCAAGCCCTGGATGGTTTGGCTCAGTGATTAGAGCATTGGCCCATGAACCGAAGAGTTTCAGGTTCAATTTCCGGACAAGGGCATGTACATGGGTTGCAGGTTCAATCCCTGGCCCTGGTCCAGGTTGTGGGGAAGGCAGTTGATCTCTCTCACATCGGTGTTTCTCTCTCTCTCTTTCTCCTTCCCTCCTTCCCTTCCACTCTCTCTCAAAAAAAAAAAAAAAAAATCAATGGAAAATCGTTCTCAGGTGAGGATTAACAACTATATATATATGTATACACACACATATATATGTATATATATATATGTACATATATATATATATATTTTTTTTTTGAGCAAGAGAGGAAGGGAGAGGGAGAGAAAGAAACATCAATGTGAGAGTGGAACATTGATAAGCTGCCTCCTGCATGCCCCCTACTAGGGATTAATTCTGAACCCCAGGCATGTGCTCTGACCAGACATCAGCAAAAAACAAAACACTGCTAAAGCATGCATAAGAAAGCTCCAGGCCTTGTCCATAGGACAAGGATTAAGTTAAAGACATGTAGACGTATGTAAATTAGGAAATAAATTAAATTCGTTTTTTTTTTCCTCACCCGAGGACATTTTACCATTTTTTGTACAGACAGAGTGGGAGGGAGAGAGGAAGAGAGAGAGTGAGAAACATCGATGTGAAAGGGACACATCGAGTGGCTGCCACCCGCACGACCAACCAGGGCCGGGGACAAACTGCAACCAAGATACATGCCCTTAGCGGGAACCGAACCCGGTCTCTCCAGACCGCAGGTGGGCGCTCTAACCGCTGAACCAAACCGGCCAGGGCAAGTTTTTTAAAAAATTGTAATCCCTTTTGGCTGATAGGATTGAATCTGGTTACCACTGTCCAGATAGAGGAAGTTACGTACTAAAGGCTGCAAGAGCTCTTGAAGTATTGTTAAGATTTGCTTAATTTAAGAAGTTTTTTTAAACAAAAGAAAACTTTGACAAATGTTATTAAATATTCATGTTTAACAGTTATATTTATAGTTCATTTCCCTCCTGTGTAGATTAGATTTTTTTCTTTGCCCTAGAATTATAATTTATGTATAGAGTTTATACAGGGTGTTTTTTTTTCTACTGTCATTCACATCTCTAAACTGAATTCTTATGACTTATAAAAGAAAAATCCCCCATCTATTTTCAATTTCCAGGTGGAAGAGGAAGATATGGATCCTCTGATGGATCCTCAGAGTGAAGTTGGGAACTCTTCACTCTAAAACACTGTAAAGAAAAAATTTAAAGCCATTTTTCTCTGTATGAGGAAAGTTAGGCAACATATGTTTTCATTAAACTGGAGCAGGGTGTTACTTATATTTGGAAATAGAATTGCTTTAGAAAATATCTATAATTATCAATTTATATCAACATGCTTTTCTTCTCTATAAAATTTTTGTCTAACAACAACAACAAAAAATCCAGAACATGAAATTACATGAAAAAAAAACCTTAATTTTTGTCAAAAAATTTTACATTAATTTTTTATTGAATAATGAAATAGTTAAAAGGGTATCTTGTTACTATAAAGTGAAAAAAAAAAGATAAAAGATAATCTAGTGATAGATCTAACTTAGCCACCTGTGAAGAAAACAAATACATCCAAGACTTTAAATTTAATATTTGAAAAGTAAGCCAAATTACAGAAAATGATCTCTTGTTGAAATATGGTATATCACTACTGTGAACCATTTTTTGCACGGATCATAAGACAAAATGTTTGAACAAAATGCTTGACCTTTCTAGAATAAACACATTAATTCACACTATAATTCACTTTGTACTTTATAAACTTTATTAAATAATGAGCATTACTAACTTTTATTAACTTATATACAATATTTAAACTATGTTTTCTTAGATGCATTATTTTGCACAAAGAATAGAGTAGGTGAAAAGTGAACTGATAAAAAAAAAAAATGAACCTTCAATACAGAGACCTAATAAAGATATGACATACTTTGAAGTACATATACCCCTTTTTCCTCAATTATGTACATCCTCACCCCGCCTCCAAAAGAAACTATTTTAAACAAAAGCACTTAATTGATAACTTTGAGGAAAAATATGAACATGATTATATATATATGTGTATATATATACACACACACACAGCTCTCAAAATCTGCATCCTGTCCGACAGAAGTGATCTATAAAACTAGAGATTTGTCCTAGAACCTAAAGATGACCACATAGACGTTTTATACAGTATGACATCCACATCATACATGGAGTATATTCCTACAGGTGACATCATAGCTATCACCAAGACACTGGTGTTAAGACTTGATCATTTCCGAGATAAGACACCATGGTAACGATGGACACTGCAGAATTTGGGTCATAGAAATAAAAGGCAAAAATGCGAGACTGTGTCCTTGGAACAGGAAGCGGCAGGTAACTGATTTGTAGCACTCTTGCAAATACCTTTAGCAGGTTTCAGAACCTACCTTCTCACAGAGCTTGTTTTTTCTGCCACTGCTAACCTTGAAAACTCATGACCACGTTTCAAGAAAGGAATGGAAAGAAAAAATGTCTCCAGAACCATGCCATTTGTATGGACTTCATTTTATAAGCTACATGAAGCAAGAATAGTATGGAGAAGCAGGAAGCCTGGGTTACTTTTTGTTGTTTAAAAAGAAAACTGAATGCCTTGGGTACCTGTTTGTACAATAATGATGGTCACATTTTATGTTTTACAGTGAAGGAAAAGAAACAGAGGACTTAAAAGGGGGGGGGGGGATAATTAGCATAAGATGTCACTGATTCAAATCAATGTCACTGCTCTACTTCAAATGAAAAGCCCAGATCCCTTGCCCTACACATATTAGCATATCTTTTAAAATGAAAACTGAGAGGGTGGAAGAGGGGGCCACAGAATGTACAACTGCTTAAAATGAGAACCCAGAGGCCACTGTTGATAAACATTCTTGTTGCACTGACCGGAGTCTCCAGTAAAATAGAATATTTATATAAAGGAGCAACAAACCCACCTTCGTTTTTCTCTAGCTTCCTTGATTTTGCGTTCTACCCACAAGATTTCATTTTTAGTTTCCTCCCATAGAGAGTTATATTACTACAACATATCCCAGTGAACTGCTATTTAAAGACCATAATTACAGCATAAAAGATGTTATTAGAACGTGTTAATCAGAGTCCGAACAATGAAAAAGGTCCCCACGTTGTGTTTGCTTTAGGAAACAGATTGCACTGCGGCCAAGGAAACCCTCCTGGAGGGGACAGGTCACGTGGCCGAGCACAGACCTCATGGAAGTTCATACGAAAAGCTGCTCTGGAAAGGGAACTTCAAAGTGCTTTGTTTTATTTTAGCTTGTGGGATACTTCATGTTGATTAGAGACAGGCACAGAAAAATAATAAGAAATGTTCTGTTCCTCCCAGCCCTGCAACTGAAATATAAGCAGATAATAATCAAGCTGTTCCCAGGTGTCACCCCTTTTCTATAGCTAAGTCAATTTGCATTTTCTTGCCCTTGGTTTTCTTTAAGCCACTGAGGAAATCATTCCTTTCACCAAAGAAATAATAAAATAAACATGAAGAGCAGCACAGTCTCCAGGCCTTGTCCAAGAATCCAGGTAACGATTTTTGCTTACAGAAAATTGGTCTCAGTACATGCTAATTTCCAATAGCTACACCATTTTTGCATTACAACGATCTAATGTAGGAATACCAGAATAGAAACCCGAAAAAGGGCTCCGCAGACTACACTCCAATTAGAGCTCTTTAGCTTAAGTCATTCTAGGATCTTGCCACAAATAGAACAAAAATGCCAGATGTAATGAGCATAATCCTTTAAACAGCTTTAGTTTCCTTTTAAAAACTTGGTAAAGCCTCCTTATTGCCTTTGAGTCATAGGATAAAACTAGTCTACTGGCTTCTGGATAATAAGAGGAGTATTGCATTTCGTAAAGTCTAGGCACTGTTGTCAGAATGTGAGAAAAAAAATATGGTCATCTTGTTAAAAAACAACAACAACCAACCTAGAAATGTTCAAGTAAGATTGACTTACATGAAACATGACCACCAGCATCAGAAAACAGTTAGATGCTGACCGTGGCTACAGTACAATCCTGGCTGGCTCATCAGCCTTTCCAAAAGTTGTGCTGTAAAAGAAAGTACATTTTACACCTCTGTTAATTACAAAACTGTTTTAATTTGGTACATATAAAACACGCCTCAGGATGTGGAATTCATGAGCATATGAAGAAGTTAATTCGGGCAGCTACTATTAAGAACCTTAGGCAAAGCTGCTAGAACTGAGACACTGAAATTTGTCCCTTAGACTCTGGACAATGTTTTGCTGATTGGGAGAAGGGCCCCTCCAAAGATAGTCATTCAGTTTGTCAGAATCGCTGTACGGTGTCAGATAGGGTGAGACCCCAAGTTTGCCGCTCACTGGCTTTTTTGGAGTGCATGGACTATTCAAAGAGTAAGATGTGTTGTTGCTGCAGACGTTATCAGAAAAGTCAGCGTCTACCGTCTTCGGGTCAGATTTCTTTCTGTGATTGTGAGACAGCTCTAACTCTGACTCATCTTCTGATTTTATTTCCACATAGTCATCTTCATCTCCTTCAGTCTCTCTGAAATTGGATAAATAGTTCTGTGTAGCTATTTGGGCATTTAAGGATACATTTCTATTTACTACCAGAACTTTCTGTGAGTCTTGGAGAGTGAGATCTGAATGTTTTCCAGTACCCTGTTGATACGAGTCACCCATTCCTGGTAGCAGATCCTGGTGACTCTCACACCTTGAACCTTTGTGTAAAGACAACAGTTGTTTCCTCCCTGTTTCATTAGGGTAGTTGATGGAGTCCACAGACTTGTTTATTAAGACTGAGGAAGATGACTGGGACCTGTTATAAAGCTGAGAGTTAGCACTGACTCCTTTCCGACCCAAAGAGTTATAAAGATGGCCTTGACATGAGTTCTCTTTGTTGGGTTGACTGACTACCACGCTATGTCTCTGCATGGAGCCCAGCAGACGGTCGGAGGTTTGAAGAGAAGGCACGGAGCAAGCTGTGGACAAATGTCTTGGAGTACTTTTTGTGTTGATCTCCAAAGTGGGATATTTTGCCTTCAAGTCTTGCTCTGGCCGGGGACAGAAACCTGCTAATTCTCCATTACTGTAGGTTGAATGCCAGTCCTCACTGCCACGTGGGACTTGGGAAGATGGTGTAGATTTGAGGTTGGGGGATTCTTGAGGGCTGGCCCAGCTGTCCTTCTGCGTCTTAAAGGGAGTCTCTCTGAATACAATCTGGTCGTACAGTTGGGAATACTCGGCAATCCTGGCACCTGGAAAGCAAACAGTGAAACAAAACATATGCACAGGATTATTCCTACACGAGAAGATTAAAGAAAGAAGAACATTACCTTCTAACCTATTTAAACATTTTAAACGGTAGAGAGAACTTGTAAGCTTGAAGGTGACTAACCATTGAATACTAAGCAAACAAATTAATAAAATAATCCATAGTTTAATACAAAATAAAAATGCCACTTAAAATTCATTTAACTGTATCTAATTCTAGATTATTTTATTTCGACAGGAGGCCTGCAAGTGTTTGCTATTTGTAATGACTATTTCTAGTGTTCTGTACAAGCATAAAATAGTGTCAGTGCTGAAAACAAACATCATAAAAATAAGAAAGTCAGCTCTATACCCTGGTTAATAAAAACAAAATGAAACCTAAAGTAGTCATTAAAAGGAGCATGCCTGCAATCCACCGTGCAGTGGCTGCCCCTTGCTTCTCACCAGTCTTGATTGCTCTCAGACAACTACTCCCAGGAAAGGATGCTCTCTGGGCTGTTCACACACTTCTGGTTTCCAGGCAGCCCTTGCAGCCACTGTCTGGGGAGTCAAGGTCTGCAGGGGTCCTCCCTTCCAGCACTTCAGAACTGCATGTATTGACTGACCCATGTAGCCTTGCCCACCCCCAAGAAACTGGGCACTGAAGTCTGTGCTTCCAGTGTATTAAGAATAAACCATCTGTGCATATAATTGATACTCTAACGACTCGAGTATTGGTTCCAGAACAGGATCTGACCATTATGTCCACGGAAGCTATTGCCACTACAAATTAAGCTATGAGGATGTTCTCTCTGCTCCACTTCTGAGTGTAGACATTAGCAGAACCCTGCTACGGACAGAACAGACTCTTAGGCCAGGGATGATTTAAGAGAGAGAACCCAGAGATGTCAATTTCAAGAGCAGTTTCCCCCCAAATCTTCAACCAAGTACTAACACGACTACCCTAGAATCAAAGAATTCCAGGCACCTCATAAATCACTCAGACCACATCTGCAGTCTCTACAAAGGGAACCTAGCCCATGTGGGATAACCAGCAAGTGACATTACATTTTCTTCACTAAGCTCTTTATAGTTTTAGTAATCTGTTGTTAGTAAATTATTCCTTCAGTTTAAACTAAATTTTTAGTTCAGTGTCTGCCGTTTCTCTTGAGTCTATCTTCTATGAGGACAGAAATCAGCTATTATTCAGTGTACCCTTTAATTGCAAACCCCTCAAGTTACTTGCCCCTGGTTCCTGCAATCAGGACAAATAGTCTGTTTAACTTCTCATTATAGACCCTATATCCAAATCCCTCAGCTTTTCAAATCCAAATCCCCTGGAAGGACAGAGATTATTAGTTTATAATTTCTAGTAATAAATACTTAGCTATTACTCCTTAAGGGGCATAGTAAAGACTCTCAATACCAATTGAGATTTGGCAGCCCCTTAGGAGATTGAAAGTCTACATGGACATCAAGGTAGCCACGTTAACCATCCTGAAATCTATAATGTTTCATTAACTATGAACCCCAACCAAAGGCAGCTGGACCTTTAGAAAGAGTTTTTGGCTAGTAGTCCCACCTGAAAGTCAGATGGTGTGCCCAAGCCATTCTCTTAGGCCAGGGCTGATCCCACAGCTGAACCAGGAAGGCTCTCACAAGATCCCCAGAAGAGAACAGCTTTGGGGAAAACAGTGAGTGCTAAGTTAAAAACTCAGTCACGCTGTTCTGATACCCACATGTAACCCTAAAGTTCAATAAGAACAATTAGCTCTTGACGTTAGAACATGGTGGCTCAGATCATCTGAAACCATGTGTCATCCAAAATATCTGTAGTATTTTTCATGGCTTTTTCTTCCTTATCACACTCTTTTTCTTCCTTTGCTTAATAAGTCCTATTTGCTTCTCAAAACCCTCCATAAGCCCTACCCCTTCCATGAATCTTGGTCTAACTGATTTCTTTCTCTGAAGTCTTATATACTTAGTGTGTAGCTGTATATACTTAGTGTGCAGCTGTATCATGCAAGCAAAACTGAGCTATTGGCTGTGCATACATGCATGTACATGCCTACATGCACACACACACTCTTGTGTTCCTAGCTGTTTTATATGGGTTAGTTTATTTTTCTAGCTAGTCCGTGAGCTTTTGATCTTGGAGAACAAATCCCTGCAGAGCACCAAGCATAGTTTGAGATAGAAACTGGTCTCAAGAAGTACTGAATTACTCAGATAATTTTTGGTCTGCCCCCTTTTATTTGAAGCATGGTGTTGAAAATAGATGTGCTTCCCGAAGCGCATCCCACTGAGAGTGGAAAGGCAGCCTAGAAATCGGGCATAGCAGGGAAGGAGGAACAGGAAGATAACCTTTGATTAAAATGCTCCTTATAAGTAACTCATAATGCATACAGTTTCTCTTTGGATAATAAAAAAGTTGGCCATTTATAAATTTGAAATAAAAAGTATCTTACAAGTAGACGATATACTGCGTCTCAGTTTTTGTTTTTTGTTTTTATCTCAGCTTGACCATCTAAGAGAGTCTGTAGCTTGCTTGATGCCAATGTGAACAAGAGACAAGCTTCCAGAGCAGCGGCTATCATTAGGTTCCTTTAGCCAGATGTGCAGGAACAGCCAGCCCAAGATGACACTGCAGCCTAAGATTAGCCAGCCGGATCCACGTTCCCTCAGCCTTCGCTCTGGCTTTAACAGTCTTTAGACAACATGCGCGTTGTCATCACGTGACAAACCCAAGGCCGACTCTGGTTTATTTCTCTTTTGTAAGTTTGAAAGGGCGTTCTTACGATTCCAGATAAAAATTTGAAGGGATGCTTGCTGAGAGGAGTATGAAATACACTGTTTTCAAGACAGAGGATTAAAATCACTGTTTCTGATGTTGCTTGAGATGTAGACCAAAGCATAAAATGTTACCTTGCCCCCCCTACTTGGCACTGCAAGGAGAGTTCCTCAAGCCTGTACGGACTTTTCTCCCACACCAAATATCACACAGAAAAGAGAACCCCAAGGCCTCCCTGGTCTCAAGGGCCAAAAGGAGGGAGGCCTGAGTGGACCGAATGGCCAGCGAGCTACGCCAGGCTCTAACAGGTAGGAGTGATTTCTAGGCGGAAATCTGACCCGGGGCCTGGAGACCCTGGCTAGAGAGTTCAATAAAGGTGCTCGAGAGTGTCGGCAGGTGAATAGGGTGCTCCTCCTTCCGGACAACACCGAGAGCAAGCTCCTGGCAAAGTGGCAAGGCCCACACGGAGAAGTCTGGAGAATCGGTCCATTCGATGACGACGTCCTGTGCCCAGATAAACAAGAGAGAGAAAAGGTGTCATCACGTCAACTGATTGAAAGCCTAGTGGGCACAGGAAGTGGTCTCGATCCACCCAGATGGAAGATTCCTCAGGTCGGAGAGATGGAAGGCCCTAGGGACGACTCCACTCTCAGAAGATGACTTGGGAGAGGTCTTCTCCTCTTTGATGGGGAGAACATGACAGTAGCTCACCATGCCAAGAAAGGACCCAGACATAAAGCTGAGAAACGATCCTATGGGATCCCAAGACACACCAGCAGGCAAAACAAAAACAACAAACCAAAAGTGAAAAGCAAAAGAAAACCACAAGGGGAAATCTACTCGTACATAAAGGCAGCATAACAAAGAAGGCTACTCAAGGTAGCTATAAGCCCTAGACTCGGTATTGAAGGATGCGTTTCTGTCAAGGTTGGAGTTTTGCATTTTAATGGATGGTCTATGTTCAAAACAATCTGGCTCAGGGATGTACCACTTTCTAAAGGACAGTCTGCTGGCATAATCCATCATCATCAGACACTTTAGTATTATACTTTCTCTCATTCGGAGGAGCCCTGGCCCAGATTCAGTCCGTGGTTGCACTGCCAACTCATTACTATTTCCAATGCCATCTATGCCCCAAACTGCCCTTCTGCAGCTGGAACTTGGTCTCATGGTCTGTGTAAAACGACAAACCAGTTTAGCAATCTGGCATTGCAAAGGGGACATGAATTAATTCAAGCATATTATTGCAAAGGGAAAAATATATGCGATGTAGTGTCTCTCACATTCATTCGAAAATTGCTTTAAACCTTTATTTGAAAAGAAAAACATCTCAGAGAGTCTGTAAAATCCTTCAGGCGACAATTCCAGGGCTTAACTTCCCAATCTGTTAAGAAATCGGGCTGTGTGATTAGCTCTAAGAAAAGAGTAGAGCTTTAGACAATTCTTAAATACTCTCAAACTTAAAAAAAAATTTCCCTATAGATTCTTGTCATGAGATTTGTAGATTCATCTAGGACTTGGATATCCCCTTCGTATTCTCTGGTTTCCACAGATAAAGAAACCAAACCCAAAGAAAGAAGGCAGGGGTGGAATTCTGGCCAGAGGAGCCAGGTGGCCATTAAGCTAAGTATCTGAACGCACCCTGATGCTCAGCTGTCTGGCTTTTACTTTTAATGGGAGAACCTTCTCCTCTCACTGGATGCTGAGGTGGTCCTTTGTCAGAAAATCTAGGGCAGGGATTCTTGAAATATGATTGAAAGGTCACACTAATTTAAAATGCTAATTCCTGGGCCTAATCCTAGAAATCTCTCTAGATCTAGAGGTGAAAAGGTCCTCAGGTGAGAGCCAGCGCCCCTTGGGGGGCGGGGGGGCGGGACGCAAGGGATTCTTTTCATGACATTTGTGTGCTTAATTCCCATCTACACTACACCACCAAGGTCAGCGTTGAGTTTTGGCCTCTCTAATTTAGCCAGAGAAAAAAGTCAAGCCATGGACACCTCATTCCTTTAGTCCTAATCATACCAGTATCACACCTGAGATCCTGGTTTAGTTCTGCCCCACAAAGGAGGCTTAACTAAAAGAATTAAACATCTTGGAAGTGTATATGAGAAAACCAAATGAAACGGTAGTAAATGAATTATAGCAGGTATTTAAAACAATATCAACTAGTAACTGAAATACAAGAGGAAAAAACTGAACAGCTTTGAAAAATGCATAAAGGATTCCTTTTTGTCTGCTAGGACAAGTAGGCGCGTTGGCTGGGATTCTGGTGTAAAGAGCAACCCTGGCCCTTATGCTTTCAAACCGTAAAAGCTTCCCCGAGCGCCTCCTCCTGACACAGTGACGCACAGGGAATAGCTCTAGATGCCACAGGGTAAACCGGTCACGCTTCCCCACGGTTCAGGTCATGTTGGAGAAAACGCCTTACAACAGCAAATCTGGAGTGACCATGGTAAACGCACTGGAAAGCCCTCCGAGACCAGACCACCCTCTGACTTGCATGAGACGGTGACGTGGGAAAGGGTCTGTGTTGTCTGTCGGTGAAGGGGAACAGAGTATGCCACCCTAAAAGATGCCTTTTGGCATATTGATTTTTTTAAGCTGGTTATTTTTAAGAAAAGAAAGACTCAGGAAAAACCTTTGACCTTCCCCCTAACTGCCTAGAAGGAATTTAGATCGAGGGCCTGCTTCAGGAAGGGAGCCATTATTCTATAGTTTTATAAAAACTAGTGATAGCCCTGGCCGGTTTGGCTCAGCGGTTAGAGCGTTGGCCCGCGGACCAATGAGTCTTGGGTTCGATTCTGATCAAGGGCACGTACCTCGGTTGCAGTTCGTCCCCGGCCCTGGTTGGGGTCGTGCGGGAGGCAGCCACTCCATGTGTCCCTTTCACATTGATGTTTCTCTCTCTCTTCCTCCCATTCTATCTGAACAAAAAAGGAAAAATGTCCTCAGGTGAGGATAAAAAAAAACCACACACACACAAAAAACTAGTGATAGACAGGAAGAAACTTAGCAAGGCCCATTTGTTCCAAGTTCTCTGTGTCCCATTGTTAACAATGCTCCCCCAAACACTGATTTACCAAACACTGCTTTTCTCCACTGAGCTGCCTTCCTGCCCTTTGGGACCTCAAACCACATCCCCCTTCTCCTTAGCCCCAGATCGACATATAAGCCTCAACTGCTCAATGTATATGTCGGGCAGCCCCCACATATACACCTGTAATACGTTTTTGACACTTCCTCCTGTTACTCTGTCTCACGTCAATCTGATTATCAGCCCAGCTGGCAGAATTTAGCAAGGTGGGGGGAACATTCGCTTTAGGACAGCCCACGTTAGTGAGTCTGCAGTCTGAGAAAATGGACATCTGAGCGACAATGTGCTCACTGTCTCACGGCCGTTTAGAACCTGACGGCTGCGCTCACACCTTACTGTCAAGAGGGAGGAAAGCAGGTGAGGAACGTACCGATGGCGGGCCCTCCTTGCTTCTTGTCTTCCAGGATGGCTGCCAGGTCCTTGTGCACAGATTTATGCTGCTGGCTGGCTGGCGGCTGCTCCAGCTCCGGGCTCTTCACCTTTAAAAGTTGATTCGCCTTCTTGATCTTCTGACTGTACTGCCTCGCCATCATAAACACTCTGCTTTTGGTCTTATCTGTGGCGTCCACCCCAGGGTCAGGGTTGTCCAGGTCTGTTTGGGACAGACTGCTGTTGGCCAAGTCATAGGGATTTTCCACGGGAGGCACTTGGCTGGCCAGAGAGAGCCGGTTAAGGCTCACAAAGGAGCTTTCTTTAGCGATGAGGTCTTCTTCCAACGGGCAGCTGGCCCGGCTGACTCTGCCCGGCCGGTCCTTCAGCGTGAGCAGGGCACGGCTCTCGGGCAGCGAGAGTGTGGACAAGGCCCGGCCCGCGTCTCTGCTCAGCTCGGGCGTGCTCTCCGAGTGCAGCCGGTCCTGTACGTCATCTTTGCTAACGGGAAACGCTGCGAGGAGCCGGTCTCTAGCTTTGACTTCGTTTTTCTTGATGTAATTTTCCAGGTCATTCCAGATTTCGTCTACTTCTTCAGACAGCTGATCAGATATAGACTTATCAGCTATTGACAAGTTACAGCTGAACGAGTTATACAGCAAACTCAAGTAATCATTATCAGAGGCTCCCGGGTGGTAAGGCGCCTCGTCCTCGCTGAACTGGAGGCTGTCCTGGGACACAAAGGGCCTCAGGCTATCACAGCACGTGAAGTCGGCTTCCAGACCCAGGAAGGTGCTCCTCTTGGGACGCTCCAGGCTGCTGCACGTGAAATCCAGCGAGGGTGGGTCGGGGAGCCTGATCGTGTCATAGATGTTTTCCTCTACCGCCTCGAGGTCATGTGCGCTTTGGTTCGATGCCTCTTGACCTGGCAGAGGTCCCTCTCTCTTTGCATGCAGAGAGTTCTTCTCGTGGCTGGCTTGCCCCTTTGAGAAGGCCAGCTCCGGGGTGCTCTTGGGTCGAACAGAGTCCCTGGTTGATTTGGGGGGAGTGGATTCAGCTTCTTCCCGTTTAGCAACCATTAGTTTTAAGTCCTCATAACTTATGTTATCATAGACATGGTCTATATCATCAATAGTCAACTCTATCGATGACCCAAAGGGAATCATTCTGTCCTGCCCTTCTGTTTTAGGGTCATTCTGCAGTTCCCTTCGGGGACCGTACTGAGAGCCCTCACCGTCCCTGATTCTGATTTCTGGAGGGCATGTGTTGCTCTCACCAGCACTGCTTGCCCGCCTAACCACCCTGTGGCCAGAACTAGTGGTCTCTGTGGACTCAATCTGTCCCATGTGCCAACTACAAGGACGACTCGAAGTGCCGTCTTCACACAGTCTGGTAGAGTTCAAGTCTGAAGAGGAAAATGATGGCATGAACATCTGGTAGTCATCTTCATCATCCTCGTTCTCCTGCGGGGACCGTCGACTGGGAAACAAGGCTTGCCTGATCTGGTGGTCTGTCCAGATGTTTCTGATGGCTCCACCCCCACGAAGTGCACTGAGAATGGCAGAACCGCTGGGCTGGCTGTTCCTCTGGGCGGGAGAGGGCCCTGCCGAAGTCCGCTGGGGAGACCCTTCCTCTCTGGAAACCTGAGGGGGACAGAAACGTGTCGATTGAATCACAGCACTGTGGGCACATAATTTACCACATTCTCCTGTCTTTACACATTGCCCACCCCATTAAGCAGTAAAGTTCATAAAGAATATGATCAGTAAGCAGTGATGATTGTAACAGAGTGGAAGAGCACTTCAGATTCTTGCAACAGGGGCAGAACGGACAGGAACTGGTATTTCCTTGGAAATAACGTAGGCCGTTTGCAGACACCCTGCAAACTCAATGTTCACAATCACTCTGTGGATTAGATATGATTGTACCAGTTTCCCAGGAAGGAAATCTAGGCTCATGAGAATTCCATAACTTTCTCTCGGTAGCCAATAGAAAGGGTAGGACTCAAACCCAGGCCTAACTCCAAATCCCTTACCCCAGTGCTCGGAATCAGCTAAATATAGAAACTTCTTAGAGGCATCCAATAATTCCAGTGTGCGCTCGGCAGATAACATTATATAAGTGAACATAGATAGATGACAAGAGCGTGGTATCCTGTTTCCATTTGGGGCCTGACTCCTAGGAGTCCTGTGACGGTTTCCGGTATACCAGAAGCCCCGTCAGTGATCTGACTGCTCATCCCAACGTTTTCCCTTAACTCTGCAGACCCGCCCTGAACCTGGCCAGTCCTGCCTTAGTACAGGATCTAAGCAAACAGCCTTTGTTGCAAGAATGTAATTTAGTCCACTATTGAGCTAATGCAATTTTTATTTTCTTTCAAAATATACTTAATTAAGTAATATTTAGATGCCTGCTAGGAAGTAAAATATGAGTGACATTAATGATGTCTAATCCAAGAAGACAATGGGGCCTTTGATAAGCTGGAACCTTTTTTGATGGAGCTCAGTTGTGCAGACTGGGCGCGACGGCCCTCTGAGGGCGTCTGAAGGTATGAAGAATAGCTTCAAAGAGTTTATTCGATAGGAGGAAGACCGGTTCAAACTAATTAGTACCGGGGACATGTTTTCTGATCAAAACACTATAGTAATCTATTGGAAATGTCAAACTAGCAAGAATTTTTCATCACTTGTCAATGAAACAGATACATATTGCCTTGGAATATCACCTGTAAATATGTCTATCTGTCTGTCTATCAGGGAGAGACAGGTTGGAAGGGAAAGAATAAAATTTCATCCTGAATGTTATTTTCTATTACATATTTAAAAAAATTCAATTAGTGATTTAATCTTTTGTTTATTTTATTTTTTCACATAGTAGAACCGTGGATCATTTGAGGTCTAGGAAAAAATGAATACACACACGTGGACATATGTGTATACACATAATTACATATATGGTATTATATTCATGGTTCTACTTTTTTTCCCTTTAGTATCTCTCCTCTTTCATCTTACCCAGTCTCACTGGTGTAATGTTTATAATGTTTATAAAATATAGGCGCCCAGTAACTACATCTTATAAAATAAAACCAGTCAATATTATCCAGCTAAATCAGAACAAAACACTTTGAAAGTATAACAAAATGATTTTGTGAACACCAGAAGTCATATGTCTTAAAAATCTTTCATCCCAGAAAAATTCCTTGATGTTTTAGAAACTTAGGAAACCTAAATTGTTAATATCAGAGTATATTTTTAAGGTAACTCCACTTCAGTTGAAGATAGCAATACTTTGGAAGCTGACATTTTACATAAAATAAATCATTAGAAGAACTGACGAAGCTCTTAGATTAAAAAATAATCAGTATATAGACTGGGCTCGACATAGATCTGTTTCCCAGAGCTACGATGGACCTTCCCCCACTTTTTCCACATTCTCGGCATTATGGCTATTTAACAGTGATGCGATAGTCACTGTCGCTTATGAAACACTTGCTTTGTTCCAAATACTGTACTGAGTACTTTTAAAAACACAGTATCACATTTTTAAACTTTATAACAATTCTATAAATTAGGAAACTAAGTCTTGGTAAAGTTAACAGCTTGCCTGTCGTTCTACAGCATGTAAGTGGCAGAAACAGGTTTGCATCCACTCGTGTCTTAATGCACAGCTTCTATATGTGCTTACTCTCTCTCTGTCCCTCTCCCCTCCATCTCTCTCTCTATATATATACACATATACATACATGTACACACATATATACATACACAAACACACATGGCATTGGAATATATATTCTGGGGGAAGTATTAAGATATTATTATGGAATATGCTCTATTACAAGCTCTTTAGTCATCAGTATATCTGTTCTCCTTGCATTTAGTCTATGTTCATTACTATTAGGAGACGGAATTTTACCACTAAGCAAAAAGTACATCGGTGCTTTCTTTCTATCTTTCTTGTCTTCAGATTTTATAGGATTTAGCCATCCCCCATATAGAGACCTGGCTTGATCACTACTGTAGAAATTTTCCAAGAATCTCTTGAGGTTGTATCCCTAGGACTGATAGAGCGATTCCCCCACGTAGGGCTGAGCGGGGCTTGGCTCTCGGTTTGCTGCCTTAAAGAGTGCCCCTCCCCCCTAGCATTTGTTTATGAAAACAGAGTAGATTAAATAATCAAAATCTCATGTTGTATTTTAGGACAATGAACCAATTCATGTTGATCAATTTCAAACAAAAATATGCACTATCCGAAGAAAATCTATATGCCCTAATTTTAGGAAAATCACTTAGAGATAAGAATATATTGACTTTTAGACATATAATTGGCTCTAACGGAAAGATAGAGCATTTATTAACATGGGTGCTCTGGCCCTGGGCTAAGTATTACAAGTGACAGCTTCGTAGTTACATCCTTTCAAATACAGAACGTTAAACAAGAAGCCACGGCCTGATCTCTAAGAACTGTTCATTGAGACAACTGATCAGGATCCATTTTGGGCATGGTCTAATTAGTCAGGATGCGGTCTCCGTACTTCATAAGTCAAAATATATATCTTCCAGTGAAGCATACCATTTTTATTCCGTTTCTCCTAACCTTTTATCAGAGGAGGAAAAATCAAAACCTGTCATAGCAAAATTTCATTAGATGACATAGGATCACACCTCTTACACCACCAGCAGGACCATATTCTTAGTAGGGGATCTTTGTGAGTAAAGGCAAATGCTTTGAGAAGGAAGCAATTCTCAGGATGCAAGAACCTCGGTCTTACACATGCAGGACAGTGTGGATGGACCGCCCTGGGAGGTACAGGCATCGCACCCTAAGGTCACCTTGCAGCTTCTGAGGTGAAAGGTGGGGCAGGGGGATGAAGGAAGTGTTGCCTTAGTTCAGAGAGGGGAGGGACACTATAAGGATGGGTCCTCACATCTAAAATGTAAAATAGTTGTTTACACTTGGAACGGAGGCTGGGATGGGACATATAAGAGTACCTGTGAGAAATGCCGGAAGTGCACATTTCAAAATAAGAGACGTAAGAGTGCTTACCTTTTGGATGTCTTGTGCTGTTTCTGAAAAAGAAATGTTTTGTTTTTTTTTAAGTTTGTGGATTAAAAATGTATCTTGTATACAGGTAAGCACTCATATTTTATAGGACTTTTAAGCATATTGTTCACAGTAAAAGCCCCAGAGGCTTCTAGGCCCTTTAGAGCTAATTTTCAGGAAATGCCTCTAAGTTAAATTGGTTCTATGCCCTGTACTTGAGGTGAAACAACTTATATACATCTGAGTGTTAAGTATCTTCCTTAATCCCTGAGAGCAACGGACTGATTCATGCTAATATGTTTCAAAAGCTTCACCCGACCCAAATATGCATTATCTGAAAAAATCCACATGGCTTAAGCCATGAAAATCACTTAAACATACAACTATGCTTCTGTTAATTTTAAAACAGCTTATTGGGTATAACTGAAAGATACAGCATTTGTCGACAGGGTCACCTTGGCACTGTGACTAAGAAGTGGTACACCTGGGATTCTGGGGATGGAGTCACAGAGCTGCACCCTTATAGAGACCCTTACAGATACCTTGAATATGAGCATCTCATCTTTAAAAACTGTATAATTCCAGAAGCATAGAAAGTAAGAAGTGATGAAATGCTCTCTATGAACCCCAGCCCGCAGAGGTAACCAAACTTAGTTGGATGTTCATCTTTCCAGGTCCCCACCCGCTGCCCCATCCCACCACAAAGCACAATGTTTGCTTTTAAATAAAGGTGCGTTATGCAACATTGCATTTCCTGCTAAATATATGTGGACACACTTGTCAGTGCATGGAGACGTACTTCCTTCTTTCTGACAGCTGCAAAATATTCCCTGCAATGCACATTTCAAATGTCACTGGACACTACCAGATTTTGCTCCAAAAAGCTTGCAGACATTTACACACCAATAGTTTCAAAATACCTGTTTTTCTATATCTTTAGGTAAAACTCAAGCTTCCCCCGTCTATTTATCTCACTTAAATGTGTGATTTTTCTGATTACTAACATGGGTGACCATGTATACATTTAATTGGCAGTTTGTGTTTCTTCTGTGAAACTGCCCAATTATATTTTCTGCCTTAAAAAAAAAAAAAAAAGGTCCATTGCCTCTTCTTTTTGATATATAAGATTTCTTTCTTTCTTTTATAAAAACTCTCACCCGAGGATATTTTTCCATTGATTTTCAGATAGAGTGAGAGGGAGGGAGACAGAGAGAGAAACATTGATGTGAGAGAGACACATCAATTGGTCCGCACAACCCCAACCAGGGCTGGGGCTCGAAGCTCAACCAAGATACGTGCCCTTGACCAGAATCGAACCCATGACTATTTGGTCAACAGGCCGACATTCTAACCGCGAAGCCAAACCGGCCAGGGCGTAGGATTTAAAAAAAAAATTTTTTTTTTCCTTTATTGATTTTAGAAAGAGAGGAAGGGAGAGGGGGAGAGAGAGAGATGGAAACATCAATGAGAACATCGATTGGCCGCCTCCTGCATGCCCCCCACTGGGGATCTGGCCTGCAACCTGGGCATGTTCCCTCACCGGGAATCGAACCGGTGACCTCTTGGTGCATGGGTCGACTCTCAACCACTGAGCCACACCGGCCAGGCGGATTTCTTTTTTATGGTAGTAATATTAATCTTCCTATGCCTGTTATCTATACTGAAAACATTTTATGTCATTTGGCTTTACATTTTATAATGGGGCACTATTATTTATTGAAGTTAATCAAATCCGTCAATCTATAATTCACCTGGTACTTTTCTGTGTATATGGTTTGACTTAGTGGATATCAACAAGAATGGGGAAAAAAAGCTATTTTAGGACTTACCACTGGCCTTCAAAACTTTATGTGATCTTGAGGAAGGTTCTGGGAGGAAAAAATAAAGCCAGCATCATTTGCAAAACCAAACCAGGATTTTTTTCTTTATAAGTAAATTACTAGCTATGGGCAAATTAATTCAGTTATAGAAATTTTCCATCAAATTTACTTAAATCCCCACTGCTTAGAGATATTAATAGCAAGCCATTCACCTCAACAAAACATTAAGCTGTGCAGCCGAGAATCACATAACAGAATACCCACCCTACCAACTGGTGGAGCAATTTCCTTAGCTTTAACCACCACCTATAAGCTGATAATGTTCAACTTTACATTCTTGTCCCAGACCTCTGGGTCAAGCCTCAGACCTCAGATGCCAACTGCCACTCTGACATGTCCCCAGCGTTCCCATGGATCCGGCAAATACCACACGTCTCGATCTCAGCACACCAGTCTCGCCCCACATCTGCCCCTCCTTCTGTATTTCTCATCTGGATTATCACTGACATTACCCTCCCAAGTTGTTGACCAGGACACCATTCTAAACGCCTCCTGTTTTCATCCATCAGTCCTGTGGGATCCCACTAATGCTCCACTCTGGTCGCTGCTATCTTAACCCAGCGTCCCACCTGGGCTCCCTGCCTACTGCATTTTCCACATTGAGCCAGAATTCTGTTTTCAAAAGGCAAATATTCCATGGCTTGATATCCTTCGGTAGCTTGCAGGATCGAGTCCAAACCCTCTGTGTGGCCTACTCGCCTTCCATGACCAGGCCCCTCTCTGATCTCCAGACACATCCTCTGCATTTCACCCTGCCCACCCCCACCCCCACCTGCACCCCCACCCCCACCCCGCCTCCCAGCCACTCTGAACAACCGACAACAGATGTCCCATCTGAGACATGCTGCCTCGAGTCTCAGGGCCTCTGCGCGTCTATTCTCTCTCCATTGGGGGGTACGGGCCCTCTGCTCTCTGAAGCTCTCTCTCTCCCTGGAGGGCTCACCCCTCATTCCCTAGGCTCTCCACCCTTCCTTCCAATCAATGTCTCCGCAGCTCTGTCCTGCAGGCTGGTGTTCAGTCACCCCTTTGGACTCTCCCACTAGACTATGAGCTTCTTGCAAGCAGAAATCCTGCGCATCGTTTACTCTCGCATGCAGGTCCTTAGCACAGATCAGGCAGGTACTCAATCAACAGCGATTCAAAGGGGGGAAAAATGAGACAACCAAAAATAACACTCCCTGAGTCTGGGGCAGCAACTGTGTGATAGGGTTTTAAGGATGAATAATCTCTGGTATGTGTCATCTATCGGATACAATTTTCCCCCTAGTGATAGTAAATAAGTTTTAAGTACCTGTTTGCTAAGGTAAGACCCTATGCAAAGCAAAATTAGATGTCAATATGTGCCACAGTCGCCTGAAAACAGAGGTAGGTAGACAATACTTGTAGAACAAAAGCTTGAGAACCCCGTCTTAATCTGCCTCAGATGAGGTCTCCAAAGCCAGAGAGAAAATGCCTTCTGTCAGGCGTGCATTGCTAGTCCCCCATATTTATCAAATGTTGATGACAACATCCGAATTACCAGATTTTCTTCTCAGCCGGTGTTGGGTGGAGAGGGTTTTCGCCTGTCCCTCTGGACCGTAACAGAAGCCCGGGTAATCTGGAAAGACAGGACACGCACCGTGAGAACAGGGAGCTCAGGGCCTCTCAGAATATGGGTGAGCCTTGTTTTGGACATCTCTGTATTTATTCTCTCAGACATGATGCCCCTTCTTCCATGACTGGTGTTGATATGTCTCTCAGGACTCTGTTTACATTGCAGAGGGCCCGTCAGGGTAAACCCACTGGAGAGTTCGGTGAGGCACTGGGGCCCGGCCTGGCAGAAGACACTGGGCCCTTCCTGCCCCGTGGCAGCTGCCCTCCAGTTCAGTGACTCTTAATGTTTGTCTAGACTTTGCTCCTGTGAGCATGTGATGAGTGATTCAGGTTCTCTTCTCAGAAAAGGGATTTTTATTGAATTTCACAGTTTGTTTGCCTTTCCACCCCATCTAAGGGGTACCCAGACGTTGGATCAAGGAAATCTGGTCTAACTCTAAAGCCCTGCAGCGGACCCAGTGATAGTCTGCACCCCGAAGCCTGAGGGTAACCATTTAAGGATGGCGCTGCACCCGGTGCTCTTCAGATAGGGCTTAATGCTCTTCAAAGGCACCCCGAGTTCGAGAGAGTTCTGAGGGTTGTAAAGACCACAAAGACTTCTCCAATGTCAGAGGTAAAGTTACATAAATGAGGTCCTTTGGTCCAATGGGATGGCCTACTCGGTCCACACTCAGCCAAGTCTGAGGTCACAGTAGGGCAAATAAGGTTATTTTCCTGGGCTGGGCTGCTCTGGCCTAGTTCTGGGCCTGGAAGAGAGACATGTGGCACCGATTTGTGGCTTGAAATTATTCTGGGCACCATAAAATCTTAACGGTATCCGAGAGCTAGCCCAGGTCCTGGGAATAAGGAAATCATTTTATTGAATGGAACTCTCAGAGTAAGAGCTGACCTCTCCAGATCCCCACCTTCCTTTTCCTTTCCTCCTGATCCTCACATGGCCACTCTGACCCTGCCTTCCCTTCGGAGTGCTTTTCTGAAAAAAGAACATCTCAGAGGTTTCCACTGAGTCAATGTGGGGATTTAGAGACCACAGGGCAGTGAGCCCCGCCCAGCGCTCCGTGGGGGTCATTCCCCTGAATCTGTGGGCCGTGGAATGGGGTCTCGGTGGCAATGGTGCTCATCCTTCTGCCTCGGGAATGTTTCTTTCTCCTCCTGGAGAGTTTGCACCTGCGGGTGGGAAGGCACGTGAGGCAGGGTTTGCGCTTGGGGAGATGCTGCAAAGTACGTTGTTTTGAAAGTGGTAAAACGTGTCCAACCTGGCTGCTAGGCGCTGTCAGTCTTTTTATTCCACTTGATCTGGGAGGTAACAAGGGCATGGTAAATGCTGTTCAACAAGGTCCTATTTAACTGGAAAGTAAATGTACTCTCTGACTGCTTGTGTACGCCTAGAAACAGTCACACGAGTGAGGCAGCTATAATTTGGGGATTTGTGCTGTTATCGGGAAAACCAGTAACTATCTAGTTATTGTGATGCTTAAAGGTAATCAACATAGGTTTTCCATCAGTGGGGTGAGGTGGGAAACGGACCACCTCATTGGTGGTGGTGGTGGAGGTAGGGTGAGTTGACCCTGGAAGCATATCTCACATTGTTAGTGGACGCAAGACCTAGCCAGGTGGCCGGCCATCAGGTGACTCACAGATAAAGCAGGAGGAATCGATGTAGAAACAAGTCACTGTGTCAGGAAGGAACAGGACTGTCTGCCGACTATGTGCTAAAACAATGAGCAGAGAGCTGCTACTTACTTACAATGACATCTTTATACACTTTAAGATAGAAAATGGGATAGATACAAGTAGAAAATGAAATTTCAAAACATTAAGAAAAGCAAACTTACGAATGGCATCCATTTCAAGTATTGCTTGCTTGGCCTGAAAGAAAGAAAGAAAGTGTAGCTATGATTGCAATTTTCTTTTTTCTTTTTGTTTTGTTTCTGCTTTAAACTACCAATTCTAACATGGGTCTTATCCCACCTGAATAAGTGGTTTTTGAAAAGCTTCTAAAGAAACTCATTATTTCTTTTAGACATTAAATGTCTTTTAGACATTTCTTTTAAGGGGTTCAAACAGATGAGCGCCCCCACGTGGGGAGTAGCTGCTGCACAACTGAGGCGCCAGAGTGCAACCTCAGCCCCCACCTGGAAAAAAGAAGGGAGGGGAGAGAGGAAGGGAGAAGGGGAGAGGTGAGGGGGTATCTGTTGGTCAGCTGCTTACAGAACGTAGAGTCCTGCTGCCCAGCCCCGACCGACTGGACTCAGCCCCATCTACTGAACAAGAGCCCGAGGGACAGGGCCCAGATCTGCACAGCTGGCCCTCATCACTCCGATATTTCGAGTTGATTGCAAAAGAGATTGCTGGAGGTTTTCTGTTTTCCTCCTTCCAAATGCTATGAGATTATCATCAGACTCTCCTGGCTCCCACAGCACCCCTGCACCTACCATCCTTTGTATGAGCCCTAGAATCTCCCTGGGGTGGGGGCAGAGCTCCGAAGGACACGGATCCCTGCTCTGGCACTCGGGTTGTGGCTGGTCTCACATCTCCGAATGTTTCCTTAACTAGAAGGCGGTAACGGGACCTACCGGCCAGCGTTGCTACTAGGACCGAATGGTAGGCACTCAACCCAAGTAGGTGACTGTCCACCTCCCCAGGGAACGGGCCCATAACCGTGTGTGACTCACTTCCTCCACACATACTTCTCCCCAGCTCAGCCTCAGCCTTCTGAAGTTTAATGCTTTGAGGTTTTAACAATTATTGTTGTTGCCACATGTTATTAATGCTTAGGGGAATAAAAAAAAGATAAGATAATTACCCTAACATGAATCATTTTGCCCAAGGATTCAAAAAAGAAAGACTAGGTTGGGTAGCCTTTCTTGCCTCTTTAATGTAATTGTCCTTTGTTAAGGGTAGTGTAACTGAACCTGCAAACATTTTGCTGGAAACAACTTCAAAATTATTTTAGTTGTATCTTTCTATCATCTGTGATATCACAGAAAAAATACTTAGAACAAGTGGCAAATCATTTTGTTTAACAAAAGGGGTAAAAAAGAAGTTTTGGTGTAGTCACCATAACCGAGAAAACAGGTGCTTGGATTTTTATAACACTGATATTTTACCATCCATTCAGACTTTGAGATTACTAGCTGGAATTCATTTCAAACACAAATGTTAGCTCAGTTTCTGTGAAGTGCACACAGAACCATGTGAATATGTAAAATGCAAAAGTCTCTACCTTCACCTTTATTCTCAGTTAATTTGGGTGAGAGTTCACTTACACACCATGTAGATGAACTGGCAATATGACTGTTTCTAAGAACTTTTCTGGCGTCTATAAACTTGACTTCAAGAATGCAGTGTTTTGTTTCATGTTTCCAATCTTAACATTTAATTTCAAAAGTGCTATTTCCAAACTTTCCAGTAGGAGGCAGCCAGCGACCGTTATTGAATTAAAGGATTGGAAGGAGGTTGGGAAGAACTACACCAATTAATTTCCAACAGCTGTGTTAATATTATTTTAAAAAGGTGATACCTTTTTGATGTTTTTAAAAAAATCCCCATTAGGCATTTCTTTTATTTAACAGGAATAAATATATTTTGATAGCTTTAAGAAAAAATTAAGAAATAGTCAAGGAAAGAAGTGAAAAATTCAAATGAATAGTCTGCTTAAATAAAATAAGAAAATTATGATAACATTATAGCAGATACAGTGTATTAAATCAGTGTGTTTTCATCGCCACGGGGAACAATGTAGTGCAGACTTGCTCTCTGGAGCCAGACAGACCTGGCTTTGAGGCTCGGTCACATACAACTGTATGAACTGGGACAATCTGCTGAAAGTCTCTGAGCCTCTGCTTTCATTTCTCTGGAATGGGGGGAATAAGGCCTTTCTCAGAAGGTGTGAAATAAGAATACAAACTTAGCACAGTGTGTGTGCTCAAGAAGGTGCAGCTGAAAAATAATTAGATTCTAAAAGGATCAGGGAGTCAGGTAAAAAGTACAGTTCTGTTATGACCATTTTAACACACTGAGGGAAAGGGCCTGGAACGCACACACCCAGTGTGGCGGAAAGAGGATAGGTATGTCAGCTAGTCTTGTTTTGCGATGGCCTGTAACTGCCTTTCGGGATCCCTTTGGTTGTTTTGAATTTCCAGGGACAGGTAAACAGCGGGCGGGCTCATGGAAGACGCTGCCATTGCTCAGAAGGGCGGTCCGAAGCTCAGGCCAGCGACAAATGACTAACCATGAAGAAATACCATCGCCTCTGCATGAGCTCCCTGGCGCCTCGGAACACCTGACAGAATGAGACTCGTGCCTCAGTCAAAGCACACACCTATGCACACTCATTTCCTGGGTACCACGTGTTGCTGACAGCCCCCGAGAGAGTGCTGCAGATGCTTCTCAAAATATACACAGAGCAACATCGACTCTCCTTTCTGAGAAATGTCAGTTCTCCTTAATCCCACCCAGTTCTTCTCTCATGATCATCATCCCATTTTCTGCCTCATTTTACTCCTCCCCACCCCAGCATAGAGCATTGCACCATCCACGTGGATAATCCTCGCCCTGGGTCCTTGCCATGTTACCCCCATAACCTTTTCCTCCACTCCAGAGCAGCCGCGCACAGTCCTAGCTGCCCCGAACCTCACCCTCACTCAGACCTGCCCTACCTCTAAGACAGGACTCTGAAGGGCCCTTCTTCACTACAGATCTCCGCTTCCATTCCCCACCTCCAACCCTGCGCAACCAGTTCTCTGACTTCCAAGGCCAGCACCCCCAGCGCATGCCATCTCCCCAGCTGGTTTCACTGTCTGCTCAGCCTGGAAATCCTGTCCGACCACTGCCGCAGGTGCTGACGCGCCCCGCCTTCCTGCCCTGCTAACCTTCCCTCTCACCAACCCCCAGCCTTGGGGAACCCACGTGCATCCAGGGTCCTCAACACTAGTTTCTGAGTCACCGAGCAGATGTGGAAATGACCTCACCGCCCTGGTTCACCGTGGCCAACTTCAGCTGGGTCTTGGCCGCCTTTCATCGGTTACTGTGTTTAGCAAGTGTTGGGACCTTTCCACTTTGCCTCAGGAACCCCAACCCCGTCTTTGCGTCACTGGCCCAGTAAATGACATTACCACCGACTTCTGTGAAATCAAACCCTTGATCCTCCCTCAAACCCACCTCAAAGCTTCTCTGTCCTCTCTTGTCTTTCTTCTCTCTCAGCCCAGGGAGGATGTTTCTGACCTTTTCCAAAACTGACCCCTAGACCTGGGCTTTTGATCCCATCCTGCCCCCCCCCCCCCCCGCGTCACATTCCAAGGGGCATCCGTCCTCTTAGCCCTTCTATCTCCTGTTTCCCTGTCTTCTTCCCCTCTGTTTACTATGCCCACGCATTCTTCACCTAAAAAGAGTGTCTTCTTTGATCTTACCTTTCTCCAAACTATCACCTTTTGCCTTTTCTGCACTCCGTTTTAAAAAAGAAAAGCCTACACTCAATCTGTTCCTTCTTTCCCCCTGGTCTCTAAGTGGGCGAATCTGATATCTGTGTTTCTGTTTGAATCTGTTTTAACCTGGGCAGCATCGGAGGCTGTTACTTTGCTCTTTCTCTTTGAGCTTCTTTCCTTCCTGTGACACCACGCCTTTCTCCCCGGTTTCCCACTACCTCACCGTTACTCTCCCTCTGGTTCTGCAGACCCCCACCCTGCTGCAGATCACTCAGACACTGGGATTCCCAAGGCTGCTTCTTCCTTTGCACATTTTGATGGGCCCTCCTATCAACTCTCAGGGCTTCAGTTGCTGTCTGGGTGGAGAGAGCCTCCAGATCTGCAGCTTCCAGGACCTGAATTTCTACCTGCAGCTGACCACTCCTGCGCAGTATCAGTGCTCTGCCCTCTGGCTCCCAGCCAGCCGGTTCCTCCCCTTTCAGTCTATCTTGAAACGCACAATTCCAACCTTTTGGCCTAACTCCTGACTCATCCTCGACTTTTATTTCTCCCTTTTCTGATGCACTTGGTGGGCAAAATCTTTTTCCCTTTGCCTCCATGATGGGTTTTTGCATCTGCTCTCCCTTGTATACGGTGGCTCCCTGGTAGTGCCCCTCATCTCTTTTCTAGACTATTGTGGTGGCTTATTCATTCCTCTCCTGTCTCCAGTCTCACCCCTCCCATTCATTGTCACACTGTCCCCAAAGTTACGCTCTCAGAACACGGCAAACCATGCCATACTCTCCTTCCAAAACCTGTCCCACCACCAATACAATCCAGGCTCTCTAGTGTGTGGGGTCAGAGCTCTTTGTTGCCCATTTGACTGCCTTCCATTTCTCCAGCCTCACCTCCAGCTCTACCTCCTGAGGACTCAGCCCTTAGGCATCTCTGTTTTGTGGGTGCTGTTCCCTCAGCCTGGTTTCCCTTTTCCATTTCCCCCACTTGATAAAAATATTCCTCATCCTTCAAGATACTGAAAGGCGTTTTCCTTCCTCTCCCCACTCAACTGCAATTGAACACTTTACCCTTCCACAACACTTGGCTAATACCTTGATTAATTCATCATGCTTAGCAAACAGTTATATAATATAGGGCTGGCTCCTTCATCTATGGATCTCTTCATGGCCTCATCTGGGTCTGGTTCCCTCCCTTTCCCAGGACCTGAGCCAGCCTTATTCCCATAGGTGTTCAGGGCACCTCTGAATAATTCCCACAGCGCTCTTTATTTTCTACTCGTTCTCTAGAAATTTATAGTCTTTTCCTTATTTTTTCTTCTTTTGAGCTCAAAAGGATAAACAACAATTAAAAATAAAAAAACACCCCAACTCTTTACAGAGTCTCCCTACACGTGAATCCTCTCAGCATGAAAGGTTGGTTCAGTTGGTCCCTGGGGAACCCCATCTCTCACTTTTCTTTATTTTGAAGTTGAACGTTCCTTCCTGCCAGGCTGCCTTCCCAGGACGTGAATTTCTTTACACTGTAGCTCATCGGCCCCGTGGCCTTACCTTAGCCGGGATCTTGGCCGCATGATTCTCCAGGATCAGCCTCTTCAGGTGCAGAACCCACAGGCGTTTGTCCTGCTGTGATTTCGCCTACAGGAAGGAGATTCGGACAGTCAGACAACTCCCGCCTCCACCACAAACAAGAGTCAGATGCTCCTCTCGCACTCCGACCGGACGGGGAACACACCACATGGCCAGAAAGCTCTAGAAAGGCTGCCCGGTGCAGGGTGACCATCGCGCAGCCCGTGGGCCTCGCAGGGACGTGAGGGCGTCGCTTTACCTGAACCGTGTGCTGCAGCTTGGGGTTCTTGTAGTGGAAGACGCTGAAACTGAGCGGCTCCTTGGGGATCACCTCCACCAGCATGAGGTTGCCACACTGCGCGGAGAGCACACAGGAGAGCACACAGGTGAGCGTGCTTGGAAGAGGAAGGAAGAAGCCACTCGAGTCCTTGCCTGTGACCAGCCTTCAGACCTACCAGGATGTGAGCTTTGTAGGTGAACATGTCGTCTCTCTTCTTTGTGATGAGAAGCAGCTTGTCGAAGAGGAAGAGGGTCCGCTCATTCTTGGCCCGCTGGATGCGGAAGGTCCCTTCGAGCACCAGCTCCCCGTAGCTGGTCAGGTCCGGCCCCTTCCAGTTAGTGAGCAAACTCTGTATCTCCTGAGAAAAGTGAACGTCCCCAGTGACCGAACAGGAGGGGAGGCAAGGCAGCGAGCACACGGCGGCCCACTTCCTGAGTCTCAAGAACGGTGTCTAGATATTTGTGTGGCATCTAATGATCCATGCCACTTGTCTACCTTTATGGGTGGTGTCATTTAAGGGTTAACAGAAATGAATCAAGTTGTTAGTTGATGAGTTGCCAACTGCTTATTTCCATTCCTAGATCATCCCAGTTACGTCTTTCAGAAGCCCCACAAAGAGGCCACGGGTGTGTGACCTTCTCAGACAGGCACCCCTCTCCCGACTTTCTCACCCCTGTTCTCTGGACAAAGACCTTCAAAGCTATTGGCTTGAAAACCTTCTTCCAGAAACTGAAGCGCACACCACCTATCAGCAACTCAGAACTAAGGCCTGTGGAAAACCTTACAAGACCCATCTTCTCAGATGTTTCCTGAGATTAATCCCAGTTATTTGGGGGAAACAAAAAGGATATTTCTTTATCACTTTGTTTTGAATGGAGCGTGATAAGTAGAAATTGATAACGGGACTTTGAAGTGTCTTTGGGATTTACTGTACCTCCATGTCCATCTTTCTTAAGGAAGCTGTTTTATTACTTTGAAAGATGAAAATGCCCACAAACAGCATCTAATGAAGCGGCCCACAAGACACCCAGGATGTCTTTGGTGGAAGGGGAAGTGGGTGGGCGTGGAGATGAGTCTGCGCCGGCGGCTGACTCAGCAGTGTCTTCAGAATGCCACACATTCACAGGGTAGGAAGCACTAGCCATTGAGCCGTTTGGAAACGCATTAGACATCACGTCTGACATTATAGATCTGACATTCTATCCACGAAACATTTAAATGATGAAGCATTAAACCCTTCCTTACTGCTACGAAAAACAGACATGGCCTAGAAGATTAGAATGTTGCCTTCCTTTGAGTGTTGATAGTCAGCTGCATCACACCACACTCTGGCTGCCTATCGACGAAACCCAGAATTCTCTTCGGTTTAATGGGCTAAATAATGTGTCTTTTGCACCTGAGTCGGCATGGGTGCCCTGCAGAACATGGAGTCAGTCACTCTGGGCTTTATGTCTCATTCCAGGGACACCCCAGAGCCCGGGACTCCCTCTGGGCCCACATGACCTTTGTTTTTAAATACTACAACTTTTGAGGTGCCCAGGACATGATCACTGGCTTAGCATCTATCAAAAATTTTTAGGGATTCAGGCCTCAAAATGTGGGTGCTGGAAGGAAACTTAGCAAACCCTCGTCTGTATTATTTTAAAAATGAGGACCCTAAAACGAAACAGTGGGTCTCATCTCAAACGAGATAGCACAGGACCAAGTTCCAGACCCAGTTCTCCTTCCTCTGAGTCCCTATCCCAATACCACATGTACCACCTCATGGCATTGCACGAACTAGCGACAGAGGAATAGAGATTAAAATACCCCTTTAAGCCCTGGCTGGTTTGGCTCAGCGGTTAGAGCGTTGGCCCATGGAGCAAAGGGTCCTGGGCTCGATTCCAGCCAAGGGCATGTACCTAGGATGCGGTTCATCCCCAATCCCGTTCGGGGTCGTGCGGAAGGTAACCAATCGACGTGTCTCTCTTACATCGATGTCTCTCTCTCTCTCCCTCCCACTCTGTCTGAAGATAAATGTAAAAATATCCTCAGGTGAGGATTAAAAAATAAAAATACCCCTTTAAACAGCTTGGAGACAGTTGCTTTCAATAAGAATTACTTATTTGTAATCAACATAAGATAAAGCCTCAGGAGACTTAATTTTTCACTTGGGTCATCGAAGGGGCTATGAACAAACTGTTAGTTTAGAAGTTACCATGGGACTTTTTCTCTTAAAAAAAATTTTTTTTTTCTTTATTGATTTTAGAGAGAGGAAGTGGGAGGGAGAGATAGAAACGTCGATGAGCGAGAACATCGACTGGTCGCCTCCTGCATGTCCCCCACCAGGGATCGGGCCCACAACCTGGGCATGTGTCCTGACCGGGAACCGAACCCGTGACCTCTGTGTACAAGGGTCGACGCTCAACCACTGAGCCACACCGGCTGGATGGGACTTCCTCTTAAATACCACACTAAACAATGATTGGCATTATCGGTGTCCTGCTCTTTCTTCAGGGAGAACTCTGATGAAGACCGTGAATGCAATACTCGAGCGGCCTTATTGTTCCATTTCGAACCCGAGACGAAGCCAGTGCACCTGCCGCACCCCAGGCGCCGCAGCTGGGAGCTCACCTGTAACCGGACTGCGTGCTCATGTTTCCGCTTCATGTCATTGATGTGCCAGGCGACACGCTGCATCGTGTCTATAGCATCAAGCACCACATCGTAACCTTCTGTGTCCTTGTCAAGGTGATTTTCTATTTCCTTGGGGAAAAAACCCAAAACTAGTTATTTTCCAATTCCTCCCATTTCGTCAGTGAAACAAATGGTACACCTCTATAATTAGTTCATTGTATTTTATTTTTGCTTATTTATTTACACACCACCATCATTCTTTAAGATCTTGAGATAACTTACCAGAAGTACCTACAACAAAATGGTAAGAAAGGACAGAAACGGGGCCAGGAAAAACAGCAGTGGATTAGAATTTCATGACAAACAGGACAAAACAAAACGTGTGTACAGGCCATCCAGCCTCGGAGATATTTTCGTTATTATGACAGATATGAGGGTTGACATTGTAGTTGGAGATTTCTGAGTTTCCTGGTGGCCAATGTGAATTAGTTTTCTCCCAGAGAAAGTAAAACTTCTCATATGACTTACTATGTAACAGACTGGAACATATATTGGACATTACCTTAAAAAAACAACAAAAAGAAAACAAACAAAACTTCTATAGCAAACGCATTTTCATGTAGTCAAGGCTTTAAAGCCCAGATGCAGCTCCCTGAAGACCATCCTTCAGAGGCTGAGGAAGACCTCTGGGTCAAGTACTCACTAGGATGCCCAGCCCTTAGCTTAGCACAGGGCCCACAATCCCAGGGGCATGAGCAAGGGACACAGTCTTGGCTCTAATTCTTTCTAGCACATAAGGCACATGTCCCCAGAATCCTCAAGAGAATAAGGACAGGGACTGTTGCATCGTTCCTTTATCCCTTATCTTCTCAGTAGTGCCTACTAGTGAGTGGGTGGTCAGAAATGTTCATTAAATAGAAGCTGTATCTTCTTATTACAGCAACAGTAAAAAGATATTATAGTGCCTTAGATCATTTCCATGACATTCATCATGCATATTCTTTTTATTTTTTCTTCATTGATTTTTAGAGAAAGAGGAAGGGAGAGGGAGAGAGAGATAGAAACATGGATGAGAGAGAGAGAGAAACATCGATGAGAGAGAACATCGATTGGCTCTCTCCTGCATGCCCCCTCATTGGGGATTTGGTCCACAACCTGGGCATGTGTCCTGACCAGGAATAGAACTGGCGACCTCTCGGTGCATGGGTCAATGCTCAATCGCTGAACCACACTGGCCGGGCTTCTCATGCATATTCTTAAGCTAACGGATGGAGGTTGAATCTTATGGTATAATTTTTGAAGACTAGCTCCATTATTTTATAGTCACATTTTATAAATTTTTTTACATTTACTGAATATTCAAGTTTTCCATCTAGTTAGAAACTGGAAAGGAATTTTTTTTTTTTTTATTCTCACCCGAGGACATTTTTCCATATTTCTTCAGATAGAGTGGGAGGGAGAAAGAGGAAGAGAGAGAGAGAAACATCGACATGAAAGGGACACATCGAGTGGCTGCCTCCTGCACAACCCCAAGGGGGGCCGGGGACAAACTGCAACTGAGGTACGTGCCCCTAGCGGGAACCGAACCCGGGTCTCTCTAGACCGCGGGCCGATGCTCTAACTGCTGAGCAAAACTGGCCAGGGTGAAACTGGAAAGAAATTTACATTTTCTTTCCACACTCAGAAAGGTCCTATAAAACTGTGTCTCCATGCTAACAACTCCCAGGTAAGCTCAAGGTCAAGAGCAAAGTTAAAAAAAGGTCTTGCCCTGGCTGGCTCGGCTCAGCGGTTAGAGCTTCGCCTGCGGTCCAGAGAAACCGGGGCTGGGTTCCCGCTAAGGGCACGTACTCGGTTGCAGTTTGTCCCCGGCCCTGGTTGGGTTGTGCAAGTGGCAACTACTTGATGTGTCCCTTTCACGTCAATGTTTCTCTCTCTCTCTCTTCCTCTCTCTCCCTCCCACTCTACCTGAACAAAAAATGGAAAAATGTCCTCGGGTGAGGATAAAAAAAAGTCTCCTTTTAGTCGGAGAGGCAGTTCTGTTCATCAACACACTCAGAGCACAGTGTCTTCTTGTGAGGATCTTCACGGATGGCTACACGACTTTGAAGTGCTCTGAGTGACACCGAAGGAACACTCTCTGAACAAACAATAAAAGCAAAAATACTTCAAAGGCAACCAGAAATTAATTGTCGATTAATCTAACCACTGTTTTTCCCTTTTGCTCTTCATTACCAGCGGTTATAGACTAACTGTTTGTGTCTCTCCCCCAAATTCATAGGTTGAAATCCTAACCCTCCTGTGCTGGTCTTTGGGAGGTGCCTGGGTTGTGAGGTGGAGCCCTTAGGTTAGTGCCCTGATAGCAGGGACCCCACAACTCTCTGCTTTAATCCGCGTGAGAAAACAAGGGGATGCCAGGAGTCTGCAGCCCAGGGGAGGGCTCTCACTGGGACGCAGCCATGTTGGCACCCTGATCTCGGGCTTCCAGAAACTGTGCGAAGTCAGTATTTTTGCTTAAGCCACCAAGTCTATGGCCCTCCGTTCGAGAGCCAGGCTGACTGAGGCGCCAGCTCTTAATTTAGAGAGTAAACGCTGAATTTCCTATCTGTTAACTTTTTAAAAGGTTGTGACTTGCTACATCTGCCATGGGATATAACTGAGATCTCAGACTTTCCTTTCGGTTGCTAACCACCTCACGGTCTAGAACGCCGGACTTGGGGATGGGTGGGACCTGCAGGTCTTAGTGTTATATTCGCAGAGTCCAGCAGAGATCCATCCTGGGACAGGTTATTACTTAAGAATCATTTGGACACTGATTTAGCAAATTAATCCCACTAATCTAAGAAGTTATTAGTATCAATCAAACAATTCAATTACTCTCCCTGGCACGGCTTCACAGGGCACGAGATTCTCCCAAGACAAGCCACCCAGGCAAACAGACAAAGCTGAGAAATTCCTGGTGAAGTTGCAACATAAGAGTTCTTAAAATTTTAGATGTGTGTGAACTGAGCGATCCCGGACTGATTACCCAGGTTAGGAACCCGGGAGCATTGAAGAGGAGATACATATACATTGCAGACATGTTGCTATGGAGGAGCACTCTGGATTAAAACCTTAAAAGTATTTTAATGAAAGGTAAATATAATAATAATTTATTTTCCCTGATGGCCTGTAGGTCACAGTGCACATGGGTGATTTATAGGAGTGGAACCCAGGCAGCCAGCCCCTGACCACTGTGCTATACTGTCTTTCTCACAGCTCACTGGCAATCCAACCCTACCTACCGAATGAAAGTCACTTTCAACACAATTTCCCCCGTTTTTATCCACTTCCTCAGATGATAAGAAATGAGAATCTGAGGGCTACATCAACCTTTGTTTCTAAAGCCTCCTTGACTTTTGTCCGGATAATGGGAGAGGACACAAAGAAGATTCCCTGCAGTGAGGCTGGGCCTCGCTCAGAGATCACTCATCACACTGCTCACCTGGCTTCTCCCCTTTCAGCCCCTCTCTTTGCTCATACAAAAGCCGATCTGTGACAAATCGCTCTCCCTCCCTCCTGCCTACTGAAGCTGGGCTCGTGGAAATAAAATAAAACCTAAAAAACCTGTTTTTCATTAAGATGATCGCTCCCTGCCTGAAACTGTCACTGCTCCGTGAGGTGCTCCCGAGGCCCCATCAGAATCAGAGCTAAAATGAATCTTTACTTGGCTGCTGTCAATGGGGCTGCAGGCCCAGCACATAAATATCTCTAATTCCTCAAAGCAGATTAGTCAGTTGTAAAGTATGAGTGTGGAAAACGTTTCCATATGTCCCCGGCCTTTTCCGATATGTTTCCCCCCTTAAACCTAATATATACACACACAATCCCCGTCCTCTGGAAAGAACTCAAGTGCAGGCAGAAACTTACATGCAAAAGGAGGTGATACTTGAGAATCCGCTGAACTGGTTTCAAGAGATAGGACCCCAGAGGCAGTGAGTGTTTCAAAGTTTCCTGACGTTCCCTGAAGAATTTGGCCAGGGTCTTGTTCCTCATGCACTCTGTCAGCATAGCCACAGACCTGCAAAAAGAGTCAATATTTTTATCTCACTTGTAATGCTTAATGTGGGTATTCAGAATTTAAATGCCAGTGTAGGGAAGCAACAGAGCTGTAGCTAGTCGAGACGGCCTGTGGGCAAGTTAGAAAAAGGAGTCCCTTTGGGCGGGGGAATCAGAAAAAGGCCCTCAGTCAGCGATGGTCACACATGGACACGCGGCTTCCAAGCAGCGAGCTCCTTCCTTCCAGGGCTCTGGTTCCTACAAGGACACAGGGCTTAGCAAAGGGGATTCGCATTGGCCGTTAGACCCCACTCGCGCCCCATCTGGGTGTCTTCATGCAGTGCTCAAGCCACACATCTGCATTCCTTTCCCACAGGTTAGAGGGCTAGGAGGGGCTCCTCCGCACTAAGGAAAAGGAGCTCCTACTTCCCAGTAGACCCAGCCGCACGCCGGACACTGTCGCCCCTTCTGCTGGTCGTCTTTGTATCATGTACACCCTCCATGACATTACATGCAGGTCTTTGGAGACCTAGTCCCACAAATCAACTGCCCTCTGACAGTCTTTGAACGGATCCCTCTTTTCAGATCCCAAGGGCTCTGCTTGTTCTAAGACCGCTTCCGAAACAGCTGGCTCACCCGGCGCAAGGGGCGCCTCTCACGGAGTGGAGTAGAAGAGGGTCAGGATCCTTCTCCCTCCCAGCTCCCCGAAAGGTAATGAGGATGGCCCCCACGCATGCCAGGGGAAGGGCCGAAACATGCTCAGCTCTCAGACATAGAGCGAGTGAGTGGGCTTGTAGTCACACACTCATATAAATTAAAATTTTATGGTCTCATAACTTAGAAGGAAGCAGGTGGAAGTAATCTCTCCCCAAATCAGTCATCTGTTTTCAGGAGTAATTTGAAAAATGAGACAGAACCAAACAACAAAATAAAACTCCTCGGAAGGAAGCGAAATGCAGGTCTCCTAATTAAGCAATTACAATCCCCTTTGAGCCCATATGCTTTGAGAAATATCCATTCAAACAGGTTTACTTCCCCCCTAAATTAATATTTCAAAACCCCTTTCATCATGTAAGCACGGAACTTCGGTCAGATTCTTTACTCTCAAAATCCGCGGCTCAGTAGCCACTGGCCACCTGAAGGCTGGAGCTCTTGTCCAAGGGTGGGACATGTGCCACACTCCTGAGCACCCTGCACTCCAGACTCAGGGCACCAGGGTACATCTGAGGATAACGACCTAACTGAGTCCGGGCCCCTCCCTGGGGGAAAGAGGGAGGCTTGTGTCTCTTCACAGAGAAACCACCGGGGCGTGACTGGCACGAAGGTGGACATCTGTCAAAGCGTGCTGGCGACATTTAATATCACCAGCCTGGATCTGAAGGGAAGAAAAGTTGTCAGATGGGCTGAAACACCTCGTGCTCTTGGCTTAAAATAGGAAAGGAAACAGGCTGTACAGGGCAAACTGACTGGGGACAAGGGGACGGGAGGAGAACGTCTGTGAATCTGGAAACACAGACCTGGCAAAACTGTGCTCGCTTCGCGGAGAAGCCTCTTTGAAAAGGGTTTATGAGAATGTCTTTTAAGCATCTCTTACACATTTTTTTTTCCTTTTGCAAGTCAGACTCACTAAACTACTTCCTCCAAGAAACAGTCCTTAACTCTGCTCACTGGGCCTTACTACTTCGTCCTGGTATATTTCACTTCTACTGCACATTGCTGAGTCCATACTACATTCATTTGTATTTATTAATTTGGTCTTTTCTACTCGCTGTTCCACTGTTGCATTCAGTGGGTTCTGGGCCTCAAAAGAATATGAACTGCTGGAAGACAAGGGATACAGTTCCTATCTCTTAGCGACATGCACCAAGCTTGGCTCTGTGCTCCATGACTGACAGGCTCTTAAAAATATTCTGGCACAAATGATTTTGCCTTTCCCTTGGCCCTGAAGAAAAAAAGCCTTGTGTATAAAAGCTGCCTTTATTTTGTATTCTCTTTTCTTATTTCTAAGTAAAAAAAAAAAATCTTAATATAACCCCCCAAATTGCAAATTCAGAAGTTCTTTCTTCAAATGACATGTTTGCAATGAGATTTATATAGATATACTCTCCCAACAAGCCCCTCCAGTGCCCAGAGCCCGATCATTGAGTCCAGAACTTTGTTGATTTTCGGCATATGCACCATGGATTTAGCTGGGGCATCCTACAGTTTCCTGATATCCTCTGCATAGAGGTAGAAATTTGAGGAGTGAATATTGCTTATGTGAAACTGTGAGCTATGGGTAGGTCAACAGATATGCACATGTGATCAATGCACCAATCTGTGGGTTACTGTTTTGTTTGCAGGGAAACCTGGGTAAAGTATGGTTGGCCACCCACCCAGTACATCACCACAGCCTGATATCCCGACCGATGTCCAGAGGAGGAGACTAAAATTCCCCAATGGAAAGTGTCCAGCCATCAGGAAGTCCAAGCTTCTGGTTTCATGTCTTTTAATTCACTGACTTTCCAGAGCCACTCACGCAGGCATCTCATTTGCTCCCCCTGCTGGCTTCTCTTCTAGGTGGGGCCCACCACCCTCCTGATCCTCAGGACACTCTACCACGACTGGCCACAGAGCATGTACAATCTCCCTGGTGTTCATCTTCCTGGCTGGTCCCTGGGATAACAACTCAAGGATCGTGTGAGAAAATTGACCCTAAAAAGGCATGAGAGTGGCGGGGGTGTGTGTATGTCATAAATTTACAGAAACTTTACATGGATGTAGCAGCATGAGGTTTGAGGTTGGAGAATCTTCACGGGGTCACTCATCAGCTATGTGACCCTTGTTAAATCAATAAACCTCTTGGAGCCTCATTGCTTCGTCCATGCGGGGGAATGGGCGCGGGGTGGGGAAGGAGCACAGGTTGAGGACCGTTACGGGCCAGCACTCTGATGGCCGTCCTCCTTCGCTTTGATCCCTGGAAAGCTCTGGACTGCTGTGGAAGTTAAGTTCAGCAATATCCGACTTATAGCATGTTACACAGTGATTAGGTATCAATAAATGTCTTTTGCACAGAAAAGGAATTCAGACCGTGTGACCCATGGTCTTAGGCCTGACTCCCTTACTGAAGTACTGTCCAGGGGGTGCTCCCTAAACTGCCCACCCGCCGGCGCTGTCAGGGTAAGAAAATGGGGGCAGCGATCAGGGGCGACCATGAGCCTTCTCTTGTCACCTAAGCTCATCATGATGTTTCCTTTCTCTGAACCCCATAAAACGTATATCGTTCATAGAATTTAGATAGCAAAAACAGAACGTATTTTTCTCTCCAGCCTTCTTGTACATACTCAGTAGCAGTACTTCCAGTGTTTTAAAAACATGACGCCCATATAAAACGGTTTAATAGACAAGACCTCTAGCCAAACACACAGGTTTACTCGGTTTTCCATTGAAGGAAACCTAGGAAACTTTTCAGGCTCTTTGAAGGTCTTTCACGATCTTCCCTACCCTGGCTCTGCAGGGAGCCCAAAGCCTGAGTGGACCAGTGTCTGGGAACCCCCATGATCTGTGCTCAGCAGGTGTCCCGGTTTTCCCACAGCATTCAGCACATATCTGACACCAACACATATCGGACTGATGGACTTGAAACCATGCGAAGGTGAAGAAAAGGCCCACTCACGGAGCGTACCTCGGGTAGTTCGTGCAATACTGGGTGTAAATGTGGAACTCTTCACTCTGCAAGGAAACAAGAGAGACTTTTATAGGCAAAAAAGCAGACATCAGCATTCATTTAAAAACAGTGAAAAGAAACAGCATTCATGCCTTTAGATTGGTTTCTCTGATGACATGAGCCTGTTTGTCTATGCTGTGTTACCTCCAGAATCCACGTGCACTTGAACCCATTTGAGCACAATAAACACGTAGTGAGCATCTGCTGTGTCAGGTACAGTTGGAGGTAAAAGGAAGAGGAGGAAAACAAGGTTTCTGCCCAGGTGCTCACAGTCCTCTGTGGATTTGCAGTGTGGGAGAGGAATATAAGTAGATGATCTAAACGTCGCGTGGTAGGCACGTGTTGGAAGCAGGTGCCGGGCGTGAGAAAGCTGCTGTACGTGCCTGCAGGTCTCTCTGCCTCTGTCTTCCCCACCTTTGTCAGTGGCGAGCCACGGTGCATCCTGTGACATTGAACTGAGGCTTTAATTCCTCCCAGAGCCTTCCTTCAGCTTTTGGGCTGAGCCAACTGCTCCTACTCTGGGCTTCCACTAAACCCAGTACTTGTCTCTCTTGCGGCCTTTAACCAAATGACCGTGACATTTTCTGTGCGGCCGTCGGCCTCGCACTCCAGGCTGCGAGTTGCTGCAGCACAGACACCGGCCAGGCCTCAAATGCAGTTCCGTCGACTAATGTGGGGTTCTTGCCTTTCGCTATGATCGTATTCCCAGCTCCCTAGTATCTCCTAGTCTTGCAGACGCCTGTTCATACGATAAAATATTGCAAAATATTCAAATAATACCTCTTGTTCTTAGGGGAGAATTTTTTTAAAAGGCAGAACCACAACTTCCCCACAAATATAACATGAACACTGTCAAGATTTTATTTAACCTCTTAATTAATGAGGAGAGTGGTAAGATCAAAAAAGAAATAAAAGCATCACAATTAAGCCCATGGGGAATGCCGAAATGAATTTACAAATGACACAAAAGTGACTTTTTCTGGAGAGATGGGTAGGTAAAGAAATCAGCTGTCTCTCTGCGGGGGCAGTGTCCACTCAGCGTCCACTGGACTGTCTGTGGGGCAGTATCCATTCGCATGTCTATGGCCAAAATCACGTACCGCATGTTGCTATCAGTTATCTACAATTTACAGAGTGGTAAACTAATGAAAAGACAATAAAGGTTACTGGAGACTCTCTGTTGGAGGCACCCAATAACCCTTCTGGTCAATTTCAAAGTCCTCAACAAATGTTTCCCTAGACTGCCAAGGGGAAGAGGTTTGCAGATGGGCGAGTGAGGTGGCAAAGGAAGGTTTTAGAATGCGGCCCTGGTTGGTTTGGCTCAGCGATTGGAGCGTTGGCCTGCGGACCAGAGAGTCCTGGGTTTGGTCCCCGCTAGGGGCACGTAACAATCATAACAATAAAAAAATGTGTATTGTAAGTCTCTCAGTCAGAATAAACAATTCAATGAATTACTCTCCAGAGTGCCCCTCCCCTTTTCCTTTTTACTGTTTGGAACTTTCATGGTTTAAATATTTTTTTCTGATTTAAAAAGAATTTTTATTTAGAATCCTTCCTGTTATACTAAAGTACGATTAGATTAAAAATGTTTTATTATAGAAAGTTTCGAGCATATACGAAAGCAGAGAGAATGGTATAATGAATCCCCAAGTAGTGATCCCCCAACCTCAATATCATTAACTCACTGTATCCACGACTCTCCTGCCTCCCCATCACTCAAGCAAATTCTAGACATCACTTCATTTCACTTGAACACATTTAGTCTATGTCTCTAATATAAGAACTTTTTAAAAAGGAGCATCACCCCAACACTATCATTATATTGAAATAATTTCATAATATCATGCAAGTTCATCAGTCACTATTCTTATTTTCTTTTCTCCCTCTCTCTTTTTTTATAGTTTGCCTGTGTGATTTGGAATCCAAACAACATCTACACACAGCCACTGGTTGGTATCTCTGAGGTCTCTGCTCATCTGTAAGTTCCCCTCTATCTTTTCCCCTGGCGGCTTAGCTGTTAAAGAAACCAGATGGTTTGGCTTCAGAGTTTCTCACAGTCCCGCTTCTGCCGATTATATCTCCATGGCTTCCTTAAAATGTTCTCCTGTGCCCTGCACTCCTTGTGGTTTAAAGGGAGCATGATCAGATTTGGGTTCCATAATTTGGCATGAACACATCCTAGGTTGTATTGTATTTCCATCGGGAGGCACAGAATGGCTGTCTGTCTCTCTTTTTTGTCATAACTATTGGTAATTATTGCCTAGATTTATGCATTTGTTAGGGGTTGCAAATTGATGATATTTCTAACTCTACAATTCCTTCTTCTTCCATTAGGCAGACTCTTTCTTCAAAAAGAACGTCCTTATATTAACTACTGGTTGCCCGGCAGTTTATGGTTAGTATGGGAAAGGCAGGATAAATGCTTGATTCTTTTCCTTAAATTTCAGAAGAATGAATTGCTTCTCCAGCATCCTGCAAAGGGCTTGGATTAAAAAAAAAAAAAAAATCACTGTGAATTCGTGAATATAAACACGGTTAATTATTTGTAGTATTTTGAGTTAATTATCTTTGCTGATGCTCAAATGCTCCCATTCTTGGCCAGTAGGAGCCTCTTCTTGAATATGGGTGACCCAACCCACAGCCGCCAGGAGCTTCCCTGTTCTCTGGTGTGACAAGATGTTCCAGACCATCCTGTTCGTTTTCTTCCCACACTCATTCTTCACGGAGCCCTGGTTCGCTCTGCTAGGAACAGTGTTTGGGGAAAGCACGGTGCGAACACTAGGGATGCTCTTGCTTCTAGGTTAATTATTATTTCTAGGCCTCTTCAGTGGACAGAGTTAGAAAAATGGTGTGTTTTTTTTAAGATAAAGTACATCCCTAGCTCATACCAATACTTGCAATTTCAGATTCATGGCTGTGGCATTTTTATTAGCCTTGTTCTTATTCTGTGTTTTTTTTCCTACCAATTCCAGTTCTCAATGACACTAACATTAATACTCATTTGCTCTATTCCACAACACACTCAATAATGTCAGGACAACAATACCAACAGCACCATGCATGATATCATTCCAGGATACGGTTAAGGATGTATTTGCTGAATTTTGTCCATTGCATATTTTTTCAATCAGTTGGAATTTCCTCTGCATGATTATGTCACAAACCAGACACACAATTAAGCTCATTGTTTCATTCTGCTTTCAACTTTTGGAGACTGCTCTTTTTAAACTTTAATTTTGCTTTATAATTATGTAAAATATGTCCATGGTTTCACAGTCAACTCTACAAGGAAGTGCATATGTAAAGAAGTCTAGCTTCTGTTCCTTTCCATTCTAGTATATTTCTCCCTTCCCCATCAGATACCGATATTTAATCATCCAGCTTATCCTCTTTTTAAAAAAAACCTCATTTAAACAGGCATATCACGCCCCATTCCTAGATAAATAAAAATAAGCCATGCCAGTGATCTGCCTACTTGAGTATGTTTCAGAATTACCTGGAGGGCTTGTTAGAAAACAGACACTGAGCTGCACCCCGAGTTTCTGATTGAGTCTGGGATGGGGTCTGCAAACTGCTTCCAAACAAGTTCCTAGAAGGGGCTGGTTCTACACTCTGAGAACCACAGAGATGCTCTTTACATGCGTCTGTTGCTTCACAGCACTTCATTCTGTGCTTGCTCAACTAGCTTCTTGTTACACACATCTGAGCTGTTTCTATGTATTTCTACACAAATATGCACATTTGCACATATACGATGTGTGTTCCTATAAATTGTATGTATTTATGCATTGTAACAATTATTAGTACAAAGAATAGCATTCCACTTATTGAATTTTTGTCCCTGTCTCTTCGGAGTAGATTTCCAGAAGTAGGATTGCTGGACTGAAGGGTGCATTCAGCTGTAGCTTTGCTAGATAGAGTCCAATTCCCTTCCACGGAGTCTGTGCTATTTTGTTTTCCCATAATTATGGGAGTACCTGTTTCTCCATGGCCTCACCAATTTAGAAGGCTGTCAAATTTTAAAGCATAGTACAGTAAAAAAATCTAAACGAGCCCTGGCCGGTTTGGTTCAGAGGTTGGAGCATCAGCCTGCAGACCAAAGAGTCGTGGGTTCAGTTCTGGCCAAGAACACGAACCTCGGTTGTGGTTTGTCCCTGGCCCCGGTCGGGGTTGTGCAGGAGGCAATCAATCAATGTGTCCCTCTCATATTGATGTCTCTTTCTCTCTCCCTCTCTCCCACTCTGTCTGAAAATAAATGGGAAAATATATCCTTGATTGAAGATTAAAAGAAAAAAAACTAAATGAGTTGCCAATTTCTAAAAGTTAGATGATAAAAACATCTTGACGTCTAGTTTCTCTTAATAAAGTAGTAGATCCCCTGGTCCTGGGCCCACAGGTTCACATGACACTTATGTTTCTACAAGACCAGGCAAGTACCTGGACGGCCACAGCCTCCACCTGGGCCCACTCATGCACTTCGTCCACCTGTTTAGCTCCTGAAAGACCGGAGTGTCCAGCCCTGGCGCCATGAACAACAAAAGCAAAGTGGCCCTGGCTGGTTTGGCTCAGTGGTTGGAGCCCGCGGACCAGGGAGCCCTGGGCTCGATTTTGGCCAAGGACATGCCTGTACCTTGGTTACGGTTCACCCTTGCCCTGGGTGAGGTTGTGTGGGTGGCAACCAACCAATGTGTCTCTCTCACATCATGTTTCTCGCTCTCTTTCTTCCCCTCTCCCTCCCTCTTGCTCTATCTGAAGAGAAATAAAAAATGTCCTCGGGTGAGGATTAAAAAAAAAAAAATGAAAAAAGGAAAGCAAAGTGATTTGCCCAAGGTCATCTAGTGAGCCTTTTTCCAGGTGTGATCACACCCTCTCAACTTCTTGCTTCCTGCTACACTCAACCCAGGATAGAGCAATACGAGGTTGGCTTTCCTTAATTTTTTAGAAGTTTAGGAGCATTTGAAACACCAAACTTAAAAACAACGACCTCAATGAAAATGTCTAAATTACATCATATATTTGACCTATATAGACCTGTCCCTAATAAAGCCTCAAGGCTTCTGTGTAATTGAATTTCTGTGCATTTTGTGACATCATGGCTCTAGTCCTATATTAAATGAGAGGGATTTGATTTAAATTGGCTGTATATTCTTAATATAGAATCAAATGCTTATATGATCTTAGATTTTTAAGATCTGTGAACAATTTAAACAATAGTTTTACACAAAAATCAATAGCTCCTAGTTAGTTAATCCTTAAATGCCTATTATGATAGATGCCTTTCCAAATCCTTTTAGAAGTATTTAGGAACAAAGGCAATGATAAAGAAATTATGCAAAAATAGATGCTTCCTTCTGATTATTCAATTCTCTCAAATTGCAATTAGAGATGATGCAGAAATGAGACATTTAATTATAAAGAAATGAAAATATATAGTCAGGGCTATTCATTTGAGCACTCAAATGTTTAGGGCACTCAAATGTTTATTGACACCCCCCCCCCCACACACACACACACACTGATTCCCGAGGGGTTTCCCTGGACACTATGAGAAAGGCTTAATTCAATATGTAAAGAGCACATAGGTAAGGTAACCCTGACGTGACGCGATTATGGAAGATCAGCACTTCCTGGGGATTTCAACAAGTGGGTGGGGCGTGTGCACACACACGTGTGCATGTCTGGGCGCTGGAGGTCGGACGGCAACAATGGGGAGGCAGGCTGTGCATCAGGGGAGAGGACGAGGCTAATAAGGGGAGGCCAGGTCTCTGAAGACAAACTTGATCGCCTTGCTCAAGGTGGCCCTGCTAAAGGTCAGCCCAGGTGACAGTCAAGATAAGAGATGGAAATGAGGTCAAGGCAGGAAACAGAGGTAAACCTGTTCCAGATGTTTCTAGAGCCTTAGAGCAGACACTCAGCTGGGGGCAGCGGGCCTGCCCAGGGGGACCTGCTATCTCTGTCATATCTCTGGGCGTATCTCTCATCTGCTGCACGCCTGCACTTCTTTCCCAGCAGCAGATGGGAGACATGCCCATGCCCCTGTTGTCATAAGGATCCCTGGAACCTGCACGGACCACAGCGCAAGGTCAAAGATGAACCTCTGTGCAGGCCCCAGTGACTCAGATAAAAGCCGAAGTCAGCCGCCAGCTTCACTTCTCTCAGTAATGGCCTCTCAATTAAAGCAATTTCCATTCCTCCCCGGAGTGGAGCAGCTGGTCGGGTTTCAGAAAACGTAGCATCTTCGAAATTTCAGGGTGCTGAGTGAAAAGCAGGTCGTGCCAGCACCCAACACCCCCCATCCCCTGTTCCATGTGAAAGTGTGGAGCGCCGGAGTCGGTCTTCTAATTAAACTTGGCACCATTACAATGAAAAGGAAGATTTGGGAGTTGGCAACCCGGCACATAAACAAACTTTTATGTGAATAATTAAGCCGGAGCTAAGCATATGCTGGACCGTCTTTAATCAACTTGTGATTACAGTTACCAGTAAAAGCCCAAGCGTTTCCCAAGCCTCTGTGTTGTTTATGGGCTGTGGTTATTTTAACATATCTTCTTTGATATACTTGGCATATCTTTTGACCCATTTCTCTCGCTTTCATTTTCCTGCTCTTTCTCAAATTCCTACCCTTTAGGAGAATTAATTATGACACAGGAAACTTGTGAAGAGAATTGTAGGCAACCATGTGTGCACAAACATTTCACAAGTTAACACACCCACACCCACACCCACCCACAAGTCAGTGATTTATACACAAGGCCACCCGCTGCCTGTAAGGAACCACACTTCAATAAACCCCGAGTGTTGTGTGTGCATCCAAAGCCAATGGATGGGTCTGCAACTGACAAATGACCCTGTGGGACAAGTGCAGAGCGGGGTCAGGCTGGGAGGACATCTCCAAGCTCCCACAGGCCTTGCTTGGACTCTGGAGCTAGAAATGAGGTGCTAATTCTTGGTTCATCCCGAGCACCATCATGAGCTTTGCTCATACCTTTGTGTGTGTGAAACCACAACTGCAGAGCTCACACCGACTTTTGCAGCAAAACAGTTTCTACGACAGGAGTTCCAAACAAAGCTGTTGACTTTTTAGAGGAACTTAAGAGAGGATTCTTTATACAGTAGGCAGCATGTCCAGAAACTAATGCTGTAAAGGGTTGCCCTGTATGTTTCGGAATTCTATCTCCTTCGAACCAACCGTCATTTAAGCTTTAAAAGTCAACTCCTTTTCTTGTATTTTTCTAAACCATCAATGCAGCTTAAGAACAACATAGGGACATAAGAATACATTTTTAGGATGTAAGAGATCAATTCTGCTTCTCTTCATTCCTTAAGTGGTAATTCTATAGCCTAGCCTAGGCTAGTGCCTTATATATTATGTATAAAATAGATATAGTCTAACTGGCCTAGTGATGTTTTATATTGATTTATTTTAACATTCTTCTTTTTCCCCAAATTTCAAGAAAAGGTGAGTAACATCATTCAGTTACTACATAGATTCCAGAACAACTACTAAGTTAGGATTTCCTAACTTACAGGGGACAGTCACAGTATTTTTTTTTTCCCCTTGCCGGTGAAAAGAGAAGAAATCAGAGTGATAGAGATTAGTGGCTAGCTTCACCCAACATGAAACAAACCAGTCATTTGAGTGGTAAAATGAAAACAACTTGCACTCCGCATCTGTCTTGTTGGCCCAGAGGCATGAGCCCTGCTTACCTTGGACACAAAACATTCTGCTATGGCCACAGGGTCATTTTCACAGTTTTCCAAATCTTGCAACAGTTCACTAATAAAAAAATAATAGAAAATATTAGACTGTAGTCTTACGATTGAGGACATTTTATATAACTTAGAAGTTTAAACATTAATATGGCCTCTACAAGGAATCATGTTTAATTGGATAAATGAGGGCCTATTGTGAGTACATCCAAGGCTTGGATAAGGGACTTGCCCAAGGTCATGATGAACAGGAATTTAAACATTAGTCCGACCTATAACTGTCCCAACCAGAGATAAGCTCTGACTAACATTTAGGTCTTCTAGATGTTTCTCATTGTCTACACGGTGCTCACACACATTCATTCATTCATCAAACAGCATTTTGGTACCCGGTACTGTGGGGGCGCTCAGAGCAACGGTCTCCTGAAGCTCAGAATCCAATGGAGGAGTCAGGCATTCAGTGAAAATCACACTAACATATACAAACTGTAAACAAAGATAGTGCTCTATCGGAAAGATATGCTAGGGAAGAAAATATCTTTTCTTTTTTTTTGGTTAATCCTCACCCAAGGATATTTTTCCATTGATTTTGGATAGCGTGAAAGGGAGAAAGGGGGAGAGAAAGAGAGAGAGATACATCGATCGGCTGTTTCCTGCCCGGGTTGGGGATCAAACCCACAACCCAGGCATGTGCCCTTGACCAGGGCTCAAACACAAGACCCTTTGGTCTGAGGGCCAATGCTCTAACCACTCAAACTGGTCAGGGCAAAAATATCTTCTCTTAGATGTAAATCAATATTATTTTGTAATGATTCATTATTTGAAGTAACTGTATAATATTTCATTGGGTAAAAGTAGCATAACTAATTTAATTAATTTCCCACTCTTGGATAAAATTCTACAAGTGGAATTGCTGGGTCAAAGGGCATACTCAGTGTACATGTTAACACATTTCCAAATTGCACTTCATAGAAATTGTATTAATATATATTTTACTACATTAAGTGTTTATTTTTTATTTATTTATTTTTTTTATCCTCACCCGAGGACATTTTCCCATTTTTTTGTTCAGGTAGAGTGGGAGGGAGAGAGGGGAACAGAGAGAAAGAGAGAAACATCGATGCGAAAGGAACACATCGAGTGGCTGCCACCCGCACGACTGACCAGGGCCGGGGACAAACTGCAACCGAGGTACGTGCCCTTAGCGGGAACCGAACCCGGGTCTCTCAGGACCGCAGGCCGATGCTCTAACTGCTGAGCCAAACCAGCCAGGGCTTAAGTGTTTATTTTGATTAGCTGTGTATTACATATTTAATAAAAAAGTAAGAGGGTTCTGTAGGCACTATTAAACTTTAACTTACACAGTCCCGCCTTCTGTTCCCCACTTTTGATCACTACCTTCCAGAAGCATTTTCAGCCGTAACTGTTTCCACTGAATGTACCTGTTTCTGAACATGCTGACACCACGTTTTCATTACCTTTCAGGTTGATATAGTATTATCTACTTCTGCATTTCCCCAAAGCTGTTCTCCTCCCATCTTCTCAATAAGTTCTGTTATGAAATTTGATTTAAAGTCAGAGCTTACATTTTTATTCTATTTTTAATAGATTAAAAAAATTTTTTTTTCCTTTATTAATTTGAGAGAGAGAGAAAGAGAGAAACATCGATGAGAGAGAACATTGATTGACCACCTCCTGCATGTCCCCCTTCCCACAATCCGGGCATGTGCCCTGACCAGGAATCGAACCAGCGACCTCTTGGGGCGTTGGTTGATAATCAACCACTGAGCCACACCGGCTGGACGGAGCTTACATTTTTAAAAATTTATCTTTATTGTTGAAAGTATTACAGATGTCTCCCTTTTCCCCCTATTGACTCCTTCCTTCCCAATCCCACCCCCTTATCTTCACACCACTACTGTCTGTGCCCATTGGTTATGAATATATATGCATATAAGTTCTTTAGTTTATCTCTTCCCATCCCCCTCCCCCTTCCCTCTCAGGTACATTTTAAATATTATTCCCAGCCAAGTCTTGCAGTACACCATAATTACATTTCCTTTCTTCTACAACCATGTTTCCCCTGGGGTTAAACTTTTCTCTCTCTCTTATTTTGCTTTGTATCAAAGCACACACCACTAATTTATCTATAAACTTTGCCCCAGAAATAGAACTCTCTTCCCACTGTGTGCAAACATCAGGTCGTCTGTTGGCTGCACTCTTTCCTGGTGACCTCCGTCCTGCAGCCCGCTGTCCTGCTCCCACCTGAACAGGTGGCCCTCCAGCCTGCTGGTTCTCTCTCCAGCACCGTCCTGCGTTGCCCTTCACCTAGCTGCTGTGCTGGAAGATTTGTTTCTTAGATGCCATTTCAGACGTATTTCCTCCAGCAGCTTTCGGAGTAGGGGTAACAGGTGGTACATTTTCTGAGACTCTTATTTCAAATTATTCTTCCTTCACACTTGGCTGATGATGTCAGTGGATATAGGATTCTTGGTTGGAAGTCATTTTCTCTGAGTATTCAGGAAACTATCTATTGCCTCGTGAATTCCAATGCCGAAGAGAATAATATCATTCTGATTTATGATCCAGGTTCCACGAGACCTGTTTTTCTATTCTGGAAGCTTTTGGAATGTTCTATTTGTTAACATAATTCTGAAAGTCTGTTTCCTGAACAGAGCCAGTTTGAATATTTGGGAAATATTCTTGAACTTCAGTTCTCAAAGTGACCTCGGGTTCCTGAGACTCCTTTAGGAGGTCCAGAAGGTCATTACTTTCATAAAGATACTTAGACACTATACTCTCATTCTTCCATGAGACTATAGTGGATTTTTCCAGGGGCTGTATGACCTGTAATAGATGAAAAGTAAAAGCAGATAGGAGAATCCTGCTGTCTTCTAGTAAGTCAGACAGTAAAGAGATTTGCAAAAATGTGAAACAATTCCAACGTACCAAAAATGTTAGTGAGAATAGTAGTTAAATTCATTTTCTAAAAATCTGTGGATTTATTGTTGTTATTACTGAATAACTTGATATTTTAACAATTCCTCAGTTTTAATTTCTATTGCAATAAACAAAATATCATAAACTATAAACAAACAATGCTTTTTGGGTCCTCAGGATTTTTGAGCACGTACAGATCCTGGAACCAAAAAGCTAAGGAACCTGTCCCTGGATGATGTTTTTGACATTTCCTTCCCTCCATTCTCTCTTCTCTCTCTTTTTGAAGCTCCTATTTTTCACATTTTTTATCCCTCCTATTTTCTCTCTTTTTGTTTATTGTCTTGTTTTCTGAGAGAATTCAACTTTATTTTCCATCCTATTTTATTGAATTTTTTTCATTTTTAATATCTGATTTTTATTTCAAAGTGTTTTTCTTTAAAGTAAGCTCTTTCGATATTTTTTTGCTACTTTATGGGTATAAAGCCTTTTATCTCCAAGGATGAGAATGTTGTTGTTATTTTGGTCTGTTCCTCCCTGCTCCTTGGTTACAGCTGTACTTCTCTTTCTCCGATCATTCCGGCTTCTGTCGTTCACCTAGACCTCTCCCCCAACACTCGGGATCCGCGTTGGCCCTTTTCCATGCGAAGGTGAGACACCATCGACCACTGTAAAGTGTGCAGAAGTACCTCCTTCACAGCTGCTCCTCCCTCCAAGGCAGCGGCTCTCAGCTATTGGTGTTGGAACCTGTCTACACTCTTTTCTTTTTGATTAATCCTTAGTTGAGAATATTTTTCTACTGATTTTTTCAGACAGAGTGGAAGGAAGAGAGGGAGAGAGAGAGAGAAACATCAATGTGAGAAGAGACACATCGATTAGTTGACTCCCACACGACCACAACCAAGGCCGGGGATCAACCCTGCAACCCAGGTACATGCCCTTGACCCTTTGGTCCACAGACTGATGCTCTATCCACTGAGCAAAACCGGCCAGGGCCTGTTTACACTCCTAAGAATTCTTGATGTGGATTTTATCTATCAACATGAGCTATATTAAAAATGAAAACAATTGTTAAAAATTGATCAATTCACTTCATAATAAATATAATTATATGTTAGCATAAATCACTTTCTGTGAAATATAGATTTTTATGAAACCAAAAAGATCAGTGAGGAGAGTAGCCCTGTTTTACATTTTTCCAAACTCTAATGTCTACTTTAACCCAGATGGGACTCCCGTATCTGCTTCTGCAGTCAATCTACTGCAATCTGTTATTTTGGTTGAAGTATACAGGAAAAATATGACATAATGACACATGTCATTAGAAAAGGGAGGCGTATTTTTTTTTTTTTTTTTTTAGTTTTCTGTTTATTTGTTTGTTTTTGTTTTTTAATACTCACCCAAGGACATTTTTCCATTGTTCAGATAGAGTGGGAGGGAGAGAGAGAGAGAGAAACATCGACGTGAAAGGGACACATCAACTGGTTGCCACTCACACGACCCCAACCAGGGCTGGGGACAAACTGCAACCAAGGTACATGCCCTTAGCGGGAACTGAACCCAGGTCTCTCTGGACCTCAGGCCGACTCTCTAACAGCTGAGCCAAACTGGCCAGGGCAAGGGAAGCATATTTTAATAGCCTTTCAGAGAAATGGGGATATCTTTCTTAGACATTACCCTGAAACTCAACAAGTGGTAGTTTCTTAGAGGTTTGTTAGAGTCTGAAACCACACCAATGTACCATACTGTCACTTTAAAATCCATTGTTCTATCTTGTACTTTGAAAAGATCTTTTACCAAATGCATGATTTCAGGAGAGTCCCAATTTCAAACACTCTTTCCTAATATTCTTATAAAAATATTCCTTTTGTAAGATTGTTTTTAGCTTAGAAGATATAGTTCTGATATTTACATCAATATCTTTTATAGGAGCATTTGAGATCTTGCTCCCCAGCATATGTCATCAGGTTGGCTTGAATATACTCTCATAAAAAGTAAAAAAAAGTCCTTTATAGAAAGGTGGGTGTAATTAAAGACAGGTGAAATCTAGTCATTGGGACCTAAACACTGGATAGAGATAAAAGGTTGAAGAAAGGACAGCCGATGGAGCGACAGCTCTGGGTGAGTGGT